TAAAAACATTACGAAACACAAAGCGGGTAGTGTACACTGTATACAATACGGCTTAGATAGGTTTTTTATTCTTGTGGTTATTTACACTGTAAATGGTTTAAGCTATTTGTTTGTGTGTAAACCGGCCGAGCGATACACGTTTTTTCTTTTATATTACTCGTATGTTAAAGAACAAGATTGAAGTGGTTTAAGGTACTTTTCGAGAGTATTGCAGAGGTATATGGATTACCAGAGCGTAATGGAGACGCGGGCGAGGTAACATTGCGGAGAAGTTCTACACGAAGCCTCGGGGGTTGGAAAAAAACTGTATTTACAACGCGTATATGCCATGTAAATTGCACTCCAAAGTCCGCAGTCGGTGTGGGGTGCAACCGTTATAACCTTTTTATACCTCTCATTTGTTTTGCAGTCAGCGAATATTGTGCTAGAGTGGCGTAAAGAGCTTTTGTTTCTAATAAAAAAAAACCTCCCCCCTAAAAGGCGCGACCGCACATCTATCGGATGGCATGGGCTCTGGTTTATGTAAATGTGAGTGCGTGAGTTGTGTTTTATTATTATTATTTTTTTTTATTGACAACGTTCTATACGATTATTCGTGTACCGCGTTAGAACTCGATCGTCAGCCTCAGTGATTTTCCCAAAAGTGACTGTTCAAAAAAAAAAAAAATGATTTCACGTTGCAATATCGCTCAGTGTTTGGCGGCGAGCGTGTAGTGAAAGAAAAAAGGGGTATTGTATTTCGAAAACCTAAATAATGCGTTTTTGGTCCATTTGGCGCGCATTCGACGTCCAAAGAGAATCATTGAGGAGAAAAAAAAATACTCAACGTCTGTGAGAAAACCAAAAAAAAAAAAATAATAATAATAAAAACCATTCTTCTCGTGTACTTCATTCAGATTTTCGTAGACGGGTTAGAATTTTTTTCCTCTCTTCTCGGCCAGTTTATAAATACTATATAGCCGTTCACGCATGGTTCGGTACACAGTCAGTCGACAACTCGCACTTGCGGTCAAGAGCGGCGAAGGACACGCCGTGTAAAACGACTGCAGCACATTTTTGAGTTGCCGGCCGGATCCGGTACGCAAAAAAAATTATATATATACGTAATATCGTTATACTAATTTTAATACTATATAATTATGTGTATAAACTAAAAAACCACCTGAATACCGCCAGATACCGATCTGGGACGTCTAAGGAGCTACTATTTCCCGTCCGGTTGTCACAACACCACTTGTATACATATATTATTATCTAAGGAATTCCAACGGTCGCCACAATAATTTATCATTTACATAATACGTTCAGTTATCGTACACACTCACTGTTGTCAACTGGATGCACGCATACCTATTTGCTGTGTGAACCGCCGTTGAAAAGTTTCCAATCCCGATCATCTATACTAAAGTAAAATGGCCGCCGCCGCCGCATACTTTAATCAGAATCCACGATTCCGTTATAATACCCATTGCTGCTCGTGTTCAATAAAACAATTATGTCGTGATTTCTATATAATATACAATACTCCGCTCGCGTTACGCCGTATAAGGTCGTTTCCCTTAACGGCCGCCGTTGTGTATGGTCCGGCACTATAAATATCGTCCATGTACGGTTGTGAGTGAAACAATAAAATGCCGTGTTCTATGTATTGATAAGGTAGGTTATAATATCCGAAACCGCAAACCCAATAACAAATAGTCTAGTGTCTTCCGCCGCCTCCTTCGCCGTGTATGCTACATCACCGCCATCGTCCTGGCTAATATAATGTAGTACAAACAATTGAAAAAAAACCTATTCCCCGTGACCATACCGACGATAATTATTACCAATTCTATTTTCTATCCTACACAAACCAACAATGTATTTGTCGGTCGTGACATTTTCTGTACTTTTCTTTTCAATTCCATAATCTATGAAAAACATTTCGCCTCGGTTTTTGCTCGTGCGGATAACGACCCGGCCAGGTCGCCCCTCGCAATAACACCGGCGACCAACGACACCCATAACGGCTGTTAATGTTTTTCCCCCGGCGTAGGAAAATCCTATACGCTTAAACCGGCCACTGGATTTTCCTTGCGACCCATGAAAAAAACTACCCTTAAATAGGAAAAACCAGGGGTGCCATTACACGGGCTGTGGAGGCGTGTCACTCGTGACTCACGTTTATTACTCACCAAAAAAAAACTTCTTGAATTTTTACTATTTTTGTGGAACCGCCAGAAAAAGAAAAACGGTCGCGCGCGCGTTAAACATTACAACATAACATTATAAAGGCGGCAATCATCGACATCGTATCAAGCGGACGAGGACAGTATACTTAGGTAATTCCGTAATGGGTATCATCTTTTTTTTTTTTTTGGCCACCCACAGTACAAGGCTCTCACCGCTGTAGCTCGTCCACGCGATATGATACGCTGTTGGCTGTTGCTATTATTATTATGATTATTATTTTATAATCGTAAATACAAGACACGAGATTCCCCCTATAGGAGGCGGCGGTATAATTATTATTTCATTACTCTACACCGATCATTACAAACGCGATGCCCGTGTGTTTATCGTAATACACTTTTATACACATATGCTGCTCTGTGTAACACATGCATACTTTATGTATATACATATCTTCTTCATTTGTTTCTGTGATTGTATTATAGATATATATATATATACGCGTTTTTTTTAATTCTCCTTCTATATACTCCTACGTCAGCTGATCTCGTCCTGTGTGGTCACAGACATTGTCACGAATTAACGTTAATAACAATCAACGGTAAAACAATAATAATAAATTTATTGTTTATCGTGTTCTATATATTATATGATTTTTTACCGGCGGCGGTGAGTCCATTAGTAGTATATTATAACGTGTAATACCGAAACGAGTGCACGACGAAAACGGATACCGACGGTGTACTAAAGCTGTGTATTATGTGGTTTATTATTATTATTGGGACGAAACGGGATCATTGACCATCGACCGCAGAAACCTATGGATGTTATCCTCGGCGCGCGTGCACATAAACAAATTGACGACGGCTTCCTGTTCCTTTTTCCTGCTCCTGCCGCCGCAGCCTCTCCCCTCTCCCCTTCACCAGATCGCCTTGCTGTAGCAGTTGCTGCCGGTGGTGTTTTCTATCCAAACGTGTGTGCAATTGAAACCCATTAACGGCGATGGCTCGTCCTATCCGTAGTAGCATCGCACAACACAATATTATTACACACATATCGAGTCGTTAAAACAGCGTGCGGGCCTACCAAAAAACAACTTATACGCATAAAAAATACTTGTTTTCAACGAGTAGTTAAAAAAAAAAAAACAACAACAAACTGTATTTTGATCCGTCGACTAGGTCCTACTTAAGGTGTCGTGTTGTCGTACAAAGGGCGTCTGGTCTCTAATAAAATATAACGAAAAATATCGGATGTTGTGAGCCCTAACTCTCGCCCACTTTCGTCTGACAGGCCACCAGCATATGTATAATACGGGGTCGTTATTATGGAGATAGTATGGAAAGTAAAGGAGGAAAAAGCCACGCTTGTAACCTTTGTTAGCCACCTTTGTTTGTGTTGAATCCCGTTCAAGAGTTCTAATTTCACTGTCAAGTGTCAAGTATGTGAACTTTGCGTGTACGGCGGGTTCACGAGCCACAACCAACTTGCTGTATATTTGTCACGAATTTTCCAAACCGCCCGTATAGTAATTGTACATGTTGGCCGTTGGCATTTCCTATTATATGCTTTACAATAAATGCCAACACCAGAAAAAAGGACGGGAAATAATCTGAACGAGTATAATAGAACAGAGTAGTGTGGTCTTGTTGTTCGCCGGTTTGGTCAAGGTATAGTTACCCCTTTCTCCCTGGGACTGGGTTCCCTCCTGGGTTGGTCAGTGTTAAAATTAGCAATTAATTTCAAACCCTACACAGATAGTTATTATAATGTTACTGTGGGAATAGAACCGACATTGCACTGTTATTTTTTATCCAGCACAGTTCGGATTGCTGTTTGTTCAACTAAATTTTGTTCCTTTCGAATATGGAAAGCTCGAAATCGCCAAAAACTGATATACATACAATTATAATAGCTAAGCACTCTAATTATGTGCCCCTAAGGTACATTTGATTATTATGATCATCTAGTAGTCGTCCACGGTTAAACAAACATCGCGAGCCTAATACACTCATGTAAATGTTATTTATACTGTGCGCGCTCAATAATTATACTGTTATTCTCTCACGGTGTATAATATTATGTACATGTCGATATTGAAGTCCTTCAGGCTCGACGGCACAGGTATATTAAATATTTTTAATAAAAATTACTCTCGAGTCCGAAGCGAATAATAATAGTGCCACAAGACACACAAGTCGTTGGGCCGGAAAAACAGCAGTATAATCCTCTTTCTAAAACGCGTCGGAACATTAAACCACCACACATAACACTGATGCTATATACATAAATATATCTATACTATAATACACTACATTTTTTTTTATTAATTCTTTATTGTGGAACCACCGTGTGTTATTAAAACTTGTCGGATGTCTTCTCAGGGCGAGCTCGGTTAATTATTATTGCGTCGTGTATGGATACACGTCAAAAACACATTAACACTATCTTAAATACTAGTTAACGTGGGCGATCACTTTTTTTCTTTAAAAAGCAACCTAAACACTTATTGTGGACCTAAAACCGGCGGACGATCGAAATTGTTTGTAACGTGTTTCGATACAGACAGGATATTTTGATTTCATTTTTAAATAGTCTTCTCTCTCTTTCTACGAAACGATTGGCCACGCTCTGACACTTCAATTGTACAACAAAAGACTTTATGAAGTATATTTTAGGGGAACCCTCGACGGCGGCCTGTTTCCTTTCTATCCGGTTGGTCCCTAATTGCAGTGGTTAAACAATAATAATCATCTATAAGAAAATATTACATTAGGGATATTTATACATAACATGTAATATTAACAGGTGGTATTTTTGTTTTGCAGGCGCTCAGCTACAAGTGTGTGGGAAATTACAGGAATCGTGTTGTGGTGAAAATTCCGAACCGCAACTGGTCACCGTCGGTCGAAACATGTACGAGGAGAAACTACAGACTTCGCTGAAAGGGTTGAGCGTCATGTATAAAGAGAAGGCGGCCAAATTCGACGGTGAGTCTTTTACACGAGAAAGCCAAACCCATGGGTGCCTTCTATAGGTGTCACATTGTTTGGCATGTTATACTGACTGGAATTTGTTGTTTATATTATATTATACCTACCCAACATGAGCTAGTATTATTGTGGTATTGGCAATGGTAGTAATAATACGTTTGTTTTTTTGCTATCTGTGCAGAATACTTCAGAGACATGTTGAACAAGGCCCGGATGGGTTTCCATGACATGTTCAAGAAGACGTACGGCATGATGTACGAACAGAACTCGTACTTGTTCCAAGACTTATTCAGAGACCTGGAAAAGTACTACGACTCGGGCAACTCGAACATCATCGAAGTGCTGGAGAACTTTTTCTCGGTGCTCTGCCAGAAAATGTTTACGGTCATGAACAGCCAGTACACGTTCGATTCCAAGTGAGTCATTTGTTGTTTTGCCGCAGACAGTTTGACGTGCGACAAACCGGTGGTCGAAAGCTTATGGATGCCACGTCTCCGGGGATTTTATAGGTTAACATTCTCAAATGAACTCCTCAAATAAATTATGCGATTTTTACACATACACCAGTCGCCGCAAAGACAATGATGGGTTTTTTTTTTTTATAGTACCTCACCGCTAATTTGTATGTCCGTTTCAATTATGCTACATAAACTTACCGTGTATTAAAGAAAGCGAAATAAATGCTTTCCAATCACAACAATACAAAGTAACGATTCCAATGAAACTCCTCCGAAATGTTTTTTTATTATGTCGACCACCGGTAACAAAACGTTTTTTCCTTCCCTACTCGGCTCGTATCTCTCTTCTATACTCGTGCACATTCTTGTTTCTAAAACGGTTGCTTTGTATCGTTTCAGGTATTTGGTGTGCGTCAGCGAGAGCATGGCAGAAGTAGCACCGTTTGGCGACGTTCCAGACAAACTGTCGGCACCGCTGAAACGATCGTTCGTCGCTTCCAGAACGTACGTTCAGGCGCTGAAAATAGCCGGCGACATTTTGGCCAACATCAACAAGGTTCGCATCGTTTAACACGCTATTATAATATTGTTATGTCGGGGCGGCTTACACGTGTCCCGTTGGTCCGGCTAATTTCACCACTAACCGCGTTTCGCCCGTTTTGCAGATGATGCCCACCCAAGAGTGTTTGCTAGGGTTCACCAGGATGACTCAGTGTCCGGCGTGCAAGGACACCGAGTTTTTCCAGGACAGCAGAGCTTGCAACGGGTACTGTCTTAACGTCATGAAAGGATGTCTGGCGTACCACTCGCAACTCGACCAGGATTGGAACGCGTTCTTAGGTGAGTGTCTGACCTGTCTGTTTCGCTCCTGTTACATGTTTTTGGTCTTGTGTTGTCCGCCTTCGCCACTAGCACACACACGAGCTTTGCTTGTTTGAGAGGGCGTTGTCAAACGCACAAAACTAAATCGAAATATTATTACAATACACGCCGTGTAACAACGGTTCCTCGGGTGATTGATAGACGGACTTGTAAATTGTTGTATGGAACGCAGACATACTCTAATGAACCGACATTATTTACCTACGTCGCAGGTCATAATAGAGTACGTTATTCTTGCAGATATCATGGAGAAAGTCAGAAAACGACTGCTGGGACCGTTCAACATCGAACTGGTGGTCATACCGATCAACGTGAAGATATCGGAAGGTATCATGAACTTCCAAGAGAACGCGCAAAAAGTATCGCAAAAGGCAAGTGTATCTTATATTGATAAACGCGCTTTACCACTGTACCGTGCAGTCTGTATAGAACCGCTGCGGTGGCGGTTTCCATACAATTCTAAGGTTTAAATAATTATCTATTGGCAACAATAAAGTTTGTGATATTTTGAAAATAACGAATATTCAAACCACACATTTTAACCTAACTATTTTGGAACGATTTTCGATTGATTCGACCGGCGCTGATCTTTTGGTATAATTAGAGCAATAAAAATCAATAGTACCTGTATGTTGTCGAACAAACGGGTACGATTGATTTTCACTGACAACTCTCTGTCGGTCGTTTTAGGTTTAACGAGACCCGCGAATTAACGTATTTTGTGTTTGCTCTGTCGTAACTACAGGTGTTTTCGAGCTGCGGTAAACCGACTTTGGGACCGTCCCGCCGGAGGAAAAGGAGTGAAATGTATGGCGGCGATTATTATGACGAGCAACAGGGACGCGTTATGAACGACGGCAACAAGGACCAGAACCAGGACCAGGACCAGGACGACGACGACGACGACGATGACGACGAAGACGACGAGGACGAATACGAAGAAATCAAACCACCCGTGGCCACTAGGAAGAACAACGACAAGCGCGGTGGAGGCGGTAACGCGTCGGGAGAGAACGGCGGCGACCGGAAAAACCAACAGAGGAAGAACAAGAACAACAGCGGTCCCAAGAACGGCGGAGGCGGTGGCAACAATAAGGGTCGCAAAAAGAACAAAAATAACCGTCTGGAGGGCGAAGACGAGGACCAAGGCACGCCGGCATACGCGTTCCACAGGTTGCTCAAAGACATTGGCAACGACGTGGAATCTAAAAAAACCTTCTGGAAGAGGCTGCCGTACGAAGTTTGCAACGAGATATCGGTCAACTCGCAGAACGCTACCTGTTGGAACGGTTCAGCATTGTCCAGGTAACTTTACCTGCAACTATACTTTACGATCACGATACCCCTACGATAAGAACTCGACCGTTATGCAAGTAATTCTTGCAAAACTCTGAATTCATCCAAAACTAGCGAACTTCCAAAAATGTTATACTAAAAACAATAGATTTTCTTGTAGTTTTCAACAATTTGCCTACACTTAACTCCTTTAAAATGATGTGTTAATTTTTAAGGGGTTGTGTATAGGCAATATCTTAAACACGTTTTCTAAAAATTCCCCACAATTCTAATTTTACTGAATTTAAGCGTTTTTTTACTACGGCTTAAGATTTAAGGTATAGTTTTATTTAGTCGTTTATTGTCCTACTTTAATCTGCAAAATAGAATAGTCTAATAGCTGTTGAATTATCTCTGTTATTACTTATCTTAAGTTGGTGTTTTCGAGTACAGCTGACCTTGAAATTGCCTAATTTAGATACTATACAACTACCTATATTAAATTAATTAATGTTAATGAAACATTCATTTTTTTTTTTTTTATAGTTACACTAAAGAAGTGATGAGAGACGGTATTAAAAATCAAAGGAAAAACCCGGAAGTTCCCGTGGATCTGCTGCGACCGAGCAGTCTACTCAACGAACAGGTGTTCGCTCTGAAAGCGTTGACCAACTTGTTGAAGAACGCATATCAAGGACTGGACGTGGAATGGGACATGGAAGAAGTGTTCCACGGTGGCGAATCGAGCGGCATCGGACCGATAGCTTCTTCGGGCGACGGTTCCGGCGAAGAGGATGCAGAGGCTCCGGCCACGGTAGTGGTAGACCCTGCATCGCCCACGTCGACGACCACGACAACTGCAGTAGCCACGAGTACAGTCAGGTCTGTGGACAACAACGAAATTGACTCCGGAACGGGCAACACTGATTCGAGTGCCGGCCACAAAGTCAAGGTGTCCCTTCGAAAGGCGCTGGCCACGTACATGTTACCGGTCGTGGCTGTCTGGTTCGGCGGATCGTTCCTCGAGTGGATACTGTGATAAGCTGTTTGTTCCTGGGAGTATTTTATCGTTCTCGATGGTGCCATAAAATGTTCAGTGTGTTTGTCTGTGATACTTTTTATAAAAATGAAACAATTAACGTAAATATTATATACCTTTAAATTTCTGTAGCCAATTCAGAATGTAAATTCCTAAAGTCTGTGACTCCTTGTATTGTGTTTTTATGTGTAAAAATGTATAATTATTATTATTATTATTATTTTAAATCAATTCTCCTAATGTTGTATTGATATATCACAGGGGTTAATAATTGTATACCACATTAATTTGAACTAACGATTACTGATTAGATATCTCATTAATCAATTAATTATTATTGTTATGTTGGTTAAGTAATAGAACCACTACTTTATATTATTAATGTAATTTAATTTATCAATATTTTAAGTATAATAACTCGGTAACAAACAAATTCAATGTCCTATAATAAGACTTAAAATAATTACAAAATTCGGTGTGTTGTACCCAAAACTTTGTACAGATAGTTTTAAAATGACTAACTCAAAACACATCATCTAAAATTCTGTTTTTTTTTGTTTCGTATAAAATAAGGAATTTATGTTTGTTTATTATTTATTATCTTTTTTTTTTTTTTAATTCATAAGTGATTTAGTCTAGTCAACATTTTCATGTGAAAAAAAACTGTACTATAATTCAGGCAATTCCATTTTCTTTTCTTTATTGTATATGTACATTGATTTTTCAGGGGAGGGGGTAAACATATTTTTGTAATACATTATAACTCATTTTATACATTTACCTTTGTGATTTAAACATTTTGTTTTTGTGTAAAATATTATAAGGTTTTTGTACAAACATATTATAATTGTGTTTCAACATAATAATAATATAATGGGTCAAAAAATATTTATTTTAAGGCCAATCTTTTATAATAACTATGAGTAAATAAAACAAACATAAAAAATACAAATTATTAATAGATTTGTCATTAGTGACCTTGTAATTATGTACTTAAGTGTATATATGTATATAAATAATTTATAATTAAAACACATCAACATAACAGAATTTTTTACAAGCTCTAGCGGTGTGAAAAATAGCATTGTGACATACCATGTCATTGACTCGATTGATTTTAAAATTATAAAGAAATTGAGATAATTTAAATAAGAGTTATACAAAATAAATTGTATCCGTTGTTTCCAAAACAATTACAAGTACCTATGACGTTAGGACTCTCAAGAGGAAAATAAATGGTATTTATATACACAATTCAGCTACAGGTGGCCAACCTCCTTGCGATCGGCCAGGAAGCGTTATGTTAGAAAGGACAATTTTGTGTTTTCACTATATTTGGTTGCTTGGCTTCCACCAATTTGAGTTCAAGAATCTGAATAACGAAAATATAATAAATTAACTGTTGTAAAATATAAATATTGTGTAGCCGGTAACACTTACATGTACTTTTCTCATCAGATCTCCGACAATATCGCCAACTCGGGCTAATTTCGCAGGTGGGGAATGGAACATAACAGTTCCGCTTAAACCTGGAAAAATTGCGTTTAAAAAAAATTAGTTAGTTGACGCCCGTATTGGTTTGTGCGTACACTCACTTTTGGTATGACTTCTTGGCGTGTTTTCTGCTGACGATGTTAACCGATTGTCAACTGCAGCTCGGAAACTACTACATCGTCTTACAGCAGCCGCCGCTTGGGATTCATTCATATCTGGGTTAAGTTTTCGTTCTTTGCTTTGTATCTCTTGTTTGAGTTCTGCAAATGAGAATTTGTCAAAACATAAAGACGTGCGACATATCAGTTGCTATAATGTAATCGTCCAAAAATGATACGTTACGACGTTCGAACAGATAACAATTATCAACTATTACTTACTATAACTGCCCAAAACGATAACATAATTTTTAAAAAATTGTATATTTTACACTACTCACCACTAACTTCATCCTTTAGTCGTTGCACCATCGCTTGTAAGCATTCCTTTTCGTCAAGCTCTACTTCGAGTAGAGCATTTCGTTCTATCGCATCATTCATTTTAGCTTCAAAATCACCTAAAGAAGCACACGTTTCTCTATAAAATATAAAAATTAATTAAATACATAAAAAACTATTATTATGTGTGTAATGACAACATATTATTTTGTTTATCAAATTCAACGAAACAATACAAGTATACAAACAATAATTAAATATTGTTTTAATCTTTTTTCTTACACTTAATAACAAAATGGAGTTTTCTGTATACTAAATGAATAATATTTGTTTGCATTATAAAATCAGTACCAAAATGATCTATTATCACATTGAATAGGAATGTTAAATTTAGTGTCACACTTTGAAAGTTTTTAAACCAATAATATTTTAGTAATAAATGATTCTGTTATTAATAAAAAAAAAATAATAGTAATAAATTGTTTAAGATTATACAATATAAAAACCTAAACAACTAACGTGGTTAATTGTAAAATAGCCAAGAATTCAAGAAAAAATGTTTAAACTTCAATACAAAAAAGTCTCGTGTTGCGTACAATTTGGTTGTTATAAACAGAACCAATGAAAGGGAACTGATGGTCACAATACTAAAGATTCTTGGAACATATGGATATGACTAGTATAAAATTTAAATTACGATTGAGTTTTATCACCGACCATAGATAAATCAATTTACATAGAGTAGGTATAGAGAAATCACGTTGTATGGTCAATAAGAATTGTATGGTTTAATAAATATTTGCATCCAAAATCAAGTTGCCAAAAATGTCTATCTGCATAATATGTTTAAATTGTTAAGCATATTGTAATCTACACACCGACCATAAGTTTTAAATATACATATTTTAACTACTTCTTATAATTTTTGTGATATTGTGTCAAGTGATATTATATTATAAAGTTTATTTATCTATGATATTAGATTTAAAATAAATATTAAATAAAAAGAGACCAACCTTTGTAATTTTTCTAGATCTTCTGTCTTTTGTTCTAATTCTCTTATGTACTTGACATAGTTGGTTTCTCTTTCATGAAAATGAATTGCCTCTTCTTGCAAACTATGTATTTGATTCATTAGGTTTTGTTGTTCTTCACGGTTTTTGGTCTGAACATATAACAGTCATATTATGAGCGAGTACGTAGCACGTAGAGTTGCATAATCGCATTTAGTGTTATACCCAAGTTAGGCACCACGTAAAAACTAAAACCACATTCATGGACGACTAAATCAATAACCAATATTCACCCTTAAAGTATCAAGATCAAATTGTAGTTGATTGTTTTTGGATTTGAGCTCTTTGTTAGTTTTCTCGAGTGATTCAACGTCCATTTCCAATTCTCGCTCCAGCGACTGCGACTGTTCCCGAAAATCATCGTATTCTTTTTCGAGCGCCTTGTATTTTTCTTTCCAGTCGGAGTTGTCGGATACATTCATTGTTACGTCTGGAACAACAGAAAAACACTTATCACTCAAAAAACAAACGACAAATATGAGTCATATGAGTCAGTCAGGAAATTACCATATTATTATTATACTTTGAGTACGTAACTAGGTGCTATATAGTCATAACATTATGTTAAGAATGTGTAATGGTTACGTACGGAAATTCGACAGAAGGTCAACAGCAACCAATTAAGACGGGCCAATCCAGATGTTCGGTGGGTCCGAGTATAGCTGTGTGGAATAGTTCGGGCCGTCTGTGTCAGTACGATTGGCGACACCTGAGATAAATCTTCAGGAGAACCGTCGATTGATTTCTTCAGAGGACTATTGCGTTTCACAGAGTCCAATGTTATTATTGCGTTAGAAAGTACAGATGCGCGTTATCACGATCACCGTCGGTTTCATAACACTGACTGGCATGTAAGCTGGCCAACGGTGACCGTATATTCACGGTGGCGAAACGGTCGATGCCCGCACGGGACGGCGGCAATTGGGCAACTGCCTTTGGCCGTCGAATCAGCTGAGTCGACCAGTGAAAAACGTTTCGTTCCGGTCTGACGGCCGTCGGACGTTTTGTTCCTGGCACACGGTGAACCGTTCGGTGCAGTGCAGCCATTGTACACATTCGAATACCGTATCCGCTTAACGATAAATACCGTCACCGTGTACCAACACCGTCGACTGTCGAGACAAAAGGAGTTGCCTTAACTTAAGGAATGTTTGTCCTATCAGGTCCACGGTCAAAAGCTGACCTCAAGATCTCGGACCAAAATTGTATTATTGTTTATGCTTCATTTTTATTTTCCGGTTTTCATAAAACAAACTAAATTCTTTTGGGACGAGCAAAACAGCTCTATAGAGGTCGTTAATAGTTTAATGTGCTTTATGAGGCCGCCACGGTTAAATGTGTTTTCTTTGTTTGTAGCACGCGGAATATAAATGAAAATATATTGTCCTCCACCGCACTTACAATAGTGGAGTAAATCACTCTTTTAACAGTTTAAATAGGACAACCTTATCAACGCGCATATAGAGAAACAATTTAAAATTTAATTTCTCATTTTTAAAGTGGAAAAATTAAAATTTGAATACTACAAAAAATCGTTATTATACCAATCGGTAATCGTTAACGTGTTTAAAAAACGGGTATTAGAACTGTGTCTCCTCGAAGAGTTTCTATCGATAATAATTATTCAAATTGTTAGTTAAGTTCAAAAAATCATTTTTTTCCGTTTTTTAACATGGTGTGGACCAAAATGTAACTATTAAATTGAAAAATAAAAACTACGAGAAGACACAATAGCGTGTTGATATCTGCAGATGACTTAGTTTTAGTCAATAAGAGTCCTTAGGGAATAAACTATAGTAACAGTATAATGGAGAAAGGGATAGAGCTGAAGGCAGAGAAATTATTGGAAAGTAAGTACCTAGTACATAAGAGTTTAGAAATGTACAATCTTAGATTAGGTTTACAAAAGAATCAAAATAGGTGGAAGTAAAATAAAGCGAGATGAGGTAAAACGAGTTAACAATAGGTAGACATTTTTATGAACCCACTAACTAGTGAGGTCGATACGATAAAACACAAAAACTTGTGTTTGGCATTATAAATTATAACTATACATATAAAGAACAATCGAAATGAAAAAGTTAATGAAGATGAGTATTATAAATTGTGTACAGTAACTAAGTTGGATAAAATTAGGGAAGAAGTACAAAATATTAAAGAAAATAGACTAAGGTGGTTTAGATAATATACATATAGCGAAAAAAAATGAGAAAAGGAAAGAATATTTAACCAAGTGTAGACAATTTGGTATGTAAGGAGGCGTAAGAAGAAGTGAGCGAAGATATCTTGATTATTCATTGTCGGGGCAACTACATCTATATAGTATGATTAGGCAAAGAATAAAAACGATTGTTTTCTTTTTAAATTACAGTTAATTTGAAAAATCTGAACTGCGGTCTGCGATGGCATTATTGTATAATTTTGTAAAAAAAATACTACACTTAATATTACTTGATATAGCCTCCGGCAAATCTAGAACAAAGAACACAATTTTGTCAGACGTTAACATGACTTGATCAGAATTACCATTGTCTTTTCTGTGTTCATAGACTTCAGTTGCTTGATTTAAAATATTTAAAAAAACTATAAACTTGCAGATAGAGGACAACAAAACATTTCTAATCTATTATATTAACTACTAATGATGATTATACGTTATGGCAAAGTTAATCAACACAAACACACATATTTTCGAAAGCTATTCCATTGGGCTCTGCGTAAAAAATCATTAACAGGCAAGCTAAGTTAATATTTTTTTTGTGCTCGATAAAAAAAAAAAAGAAATCTGCAAATAGTACGATTATAATTTTCTCGTTAAATGTATAGCCAACACTAATAAAAAAATAAATATCTTTTTATGGATGTAATTTAATTTTAAATATAATGTATTTATATTAGATTTTTTATTAGATAGCAATACATTTTATTTCTCGCTTACAGCTGTATAAAACAGGTTGATACTGTATTGAGAGTATGATTTAAAGTATTTATTATTTGCCTATTAACTTTTTTTTTTTTTAAATAAAACACCATTTAGTTGTTTGTAAATATTGGTCCATTATATTTGAAACATAATCTCAAACTTTTGCTTCGAACACTACATCATATGTGTTAATATTATAAGGTCGTTATTTTTTATTATTGTCGACATTCATTACCTTTAATTCCTATTAAACTGCCATGTAATGTCCAAAATATTTTGGTGTTTATTATTACTTTATTGTAGATATAATAATAATGTAATTATGAAACTGAAATTTATTCCAATTAGCGTAATCATATTTAGTAATAAATAATTTTTGCTTTTGACTAATAAATTGTATTAGTCAAGAACTTTTACTAAAATCTGGTAGTTAGATTAACGTTATGTTAAGACAGCGTAAATTACATACATGGTGTTAGTTGAGTTATATTATGCAATGGCAATTATGGGATAGAGTCTATCCCATAATTTGTTATTAGTCTATCCGATAGACTAATAACTATTAAACAATATTAATTTATTCTATAAATAGAACAACACAATGATTTCTAATTATATTTCTTGTCTCACATTGTATTTTTCACCTCGAAGGTATATATTTTACTCTTCTGTAAAATTAAAAAACAAAAAATTGAAAATCACTGTAATCTCAGTTAGTCCTTTAAAATTATCACTCACCTTAAAAACTGGACTTAAGTGATTACTGACTAACTTGGTAATAATAGTGTACTGCATTTTATGAATATTTGTATTATTATTACTTATTTTTAATTCTGTGTCACAACTGGATAGTCTATTTTGTTTCATTTATGTTTTGTAGTTAAAGCGTGAAATAAAAAGTTCACAGATAATGTAATTTTATTTAAAGGTCAAGGTAGGACGTAGGTAGGTTTAATATTTTGACAGAGTTTTCGTTTTGTGAATGTCATAATGAAACATTATTGTACAGAATACCTACTACCTAAATATTAAACGTCTGAAATGCATAAAATACCAAGTCAAATTTTAGTGTATTTTAAGTATTGACAACAAGCATGATTAATATCAATAAATACCTTAAATGAGTCAATATACTGTTTTGAAAAATAAATAAATAAATAAATATACATACGAGGTCAAGTTAAATGTTTTTAAAAATACCCGTATATAATAAACTCATACAAATAATAAAATATAAGATTATTTTATATTATAATATTATAAAGCCATGTTGAAAATATTATGATTATCTTGAATAAAATATTAGTAAGCAATTTAGCAATTTATTATTCATTTAAAAATTATTAAAATATTTTTTTTTCAACAAAATAGCTATTCAAATCGTTTTTTATTCATTATGTTGGTTTTAAATAACAATACTATAGCTATATTACCAAATAAACTATTTTACATAATTCAGAAAGTATGATGACATGTTTACGCATAATAATAGTAATGTGTATAACAAAGATCATTTTCGATAAATTGTTATATTATTATATAATGTGTGGGTACTCAACCCAGCCAATCCAAATTTACACGATTACTGTATGTCAGTAAGAAGTAGTAGCTTCAGAGATATTTTTCTGGTAGGGCATAGCGGGGAGAACATTTTCACGAATGGGCATCTACAAATATTATTGTCTTGACGAAACTAATTTTGAGGAGGTACTTTCCCCACCTTGCCTCGGCCTAGGGCGGACACTGTAAACAAGTTTGAAATTCTTATGGAGTAATATTTCAGTTTATTTTATTACAGTTTTTACTTTTTTATAAACAGATATAATCAACAAATAAACGGAGTATATACTGTGACACTAGTGTCCAGTAGGACAGTGTGAGACAATTGGCAAAGTCTAATAATGACCACAAATGTACTCAAAGAGCCGTGAAACAAAGAAGATTAAATTTAACGTAGGTATTTTCTAGCGTACATTTAATTAGCTACAGGTATGTTGGCTATTTGCCCAACTATAGAAAGTATAAGCTATACATAATAATAATTATAGACATGTACAAACAACAATGTACTTATGTGACCTTCTCTTAATTTTCTGTTCATAACCTGTTTGATAAAAAGTAGAAAATAAGGTTTTACTATAGGTGTCGTGATTTAGTATTATAAAAACAATCTATAATTTATAATTTTTTTTTTTTCAATTTATCAATGTGCTATTAAAATTAGTCTAAAAACAATATAATGTTTTCTTTTAATGGATGTAGCGAGAGTTAATCTTGCTCTTTCTCAGATAATTAGCTTGTAATAAGCACTTGTTTCATAAGATTGGACATTATTTGAGACGAGATGTTATTATTGCGGATTTTGCATATTATAAAATTGTCTTTGAGAGGTAACCATACAATCGGTTAGTTCGATCGTCATGCTATACGGACAAGAGAAGGGGCATGACCGTCCATAGTTTATTCTTATATAATGGACCATTAAGAGGCAATATGCATTGGGAAGGTAGTGGATAGCGAACGCCAGCCACTAGGTGGGACGGAGAGCGGAATGCGTGAGCTCAGTGTACCTCATATGCACTATACAAACTTCCAAACAGCAAACTGGTTTATTGTTGCATTAGTGTATGTTATATTGTTATGCTACTGATAGTTTTAAACATTTTTTTTTGCCGAAATTGTAAACTTCATTGAATCGACAATAATCGTTTACGCGAATCGCTTGAAACACTATTTGGATTCGTGTGTTCTTCGAACTCACGTTATGAGTAAGTTTATTTTATTTATAATAAGTGTTTCGTTAACAATCACCTTTATACATGGCGATTGTTGGGATACGGCCTGCCAATCCAAATCATGGGTGGGATGCAAGCACTACGACATGGTCGAAATCAACCGTGCCGCGTGCGACGAAGGTTACGTGTACTCTTGCTGTAGCAAAAGTGAAAACATTAGTCCTGCGATAGACATCATTACAAAATCCGACCAGCAACTGTCGGAAAAAACGTGCTGGGACACCGGTTGTCAGCTAAACTTGTGGGCGGTCACGGGATGTCAACAGTACGGTATGGTAGAAATCCAAAAGACGCCGTGTGACGACGGTTTTATATATTCTTGTTGCGGTCCGAAAAAAAGCGATAAAACTCAGTTGTCGACTTCGAGTGGAGAACCCCAAAGTCAGCTCAAAAGAAAATGCTGGGACACCGGTTGCCAATTGAAATCGTGGGCGGTCACGGGATGTGAACAGTACGGTATGGTCGAAGTAAAACGGGCGTCGTGTGACGACGGATTCGTTTATTCCTGCTGTAGTCCGGAACAAAAGTTCTATACTGATGTGGGTTCTAAGTCGGAAGCGGAGCCAAAGAAAACCTGTTGGGATACCGGTTGCCAATTGTCGTCGTGGGCCGTAAAAGGCTGTGAACAGTACGACATGACCGAAGTGAAACGAGTGGTCTGCGACAAAGGTTTCATTTATTCGTGCTGTAGTAAAGATAGAGTTGAGCAAAAACTGTCTTCGGTCGCGACGAACACACTCGATCAAGAACCGAAACAAGCTTGTTGGGACACTGGTTGCCAACTGTCGTCATGGGCTGTAAAAGGCTGTGAACAGTACGACATGACCGAAGTGAAACGAGTGGTCTGCGACAAAGGTTTCATTTATTCATGCTGTGGTAAAAAGATAGTTGAAAAAAATCCATCTTCGGTCGCGTCGAATGCACTCGATCTGGAGTCGAAGCGAACTTGTTGGGACACCGGGTGTCAATTAAAATCGTGGGCGGTTACTGGATGCGAGCAGTATGACATGGTTGAAATCAAACGAGAGACGTGTAAAGAAGGTTACGTTTATTCTTGCTGTAGTAAAAACAAAATCGCAAGTATCCAATCTACTGATGTAGCAGAGTCGAATTTGAAACTCGACCAAGAGCCGAAACAAACCTGTTGGGACACCGGCTGTCAATCAAAATCGTGGGCGGTTACTGGATGCGAGCAGTATGACATGGTTGAAATCAAACGGATGACGTGCGACGAGGGGTACATTTATTCTTGTTGTAGCAAAAAAAAAAGCGAAAAAATCATGTCTGCAGTTTCGGCGGATTCTAATCCTAAACCAAGCGAGGAGCCAAAAAGAATTTGTTGGGACACTGGTTGTCAACCAAAATCATGGGCGGTTAGAGGATGTGAACAATACGGTATGGTCGAAGTCAACCAAACTCAGTGCGACGAAGGTCTCGTCTATAGATGCTGCAGCCCAGACAACATCGAACCCAGATTGTCTGCAGCTACGACAAATTCAAAATTAGAACAGGAACCTAAAAAAACATGTTGGGACACGGGTTGTCAACTGAAATCATGGGCGGTCAGAGGATGTGAACAATACGATATGATGGAAGTCAAACGGAGTAACTGTGACGGAGGATTTGTCTATTCTTGCTGCAGCAAAGACATAACTGAAAACAAGTCTTCTTCTACAAGCGCATCCAAGCTAAATAGTGAACCCGATGACCAGGATAAAAAAAAATGTTGGGATACCGGTTGTCAATTAAACTCTTGGGCTGTCAAGGGTTGCAAGCAGTACGATATGGTCGAAACCAAACGGATGGAGTGTGACGAAGGATTTATCTATTCTTGTTGTGAAAAAGAAAAAGTTCAAATAATTTATCCATCGACTGCAACGTCATCAAGTGTTGATGAAGAACCGCGACAGAGTAACGACGATGACGATGGCTATGTACAATGTTGGGGAGAAGATTGTCCACCGAATCCCGCAGAATATTAATATTGGACTACATTTTTTGTATAGTAATTAATTATAATATTTATTATATGTGTAAAAATATGTATGTAAAATACAAATGTGTAATAATCGAAATGTATTCACTACTCGAGGTAAATGATGACGACAACAATACAATAGAAGTCTAACAAACGATAATGGGTAAAAAGTCAATCGATATTATAGCCAAGGTGAAGAAACCAAAGAACAAACGAGTGTATTATATTATTTATAATAATATGATTTTTTTTTTTAATCATGCTTGTCTAAGACAATGCATATTCCCGAAAATTATTAATGTAGCTTCTACAATTGACGATTGCAAGTCATTATTGTTTAACCAGCAGCACATCCAATATAACATGTAGCTATAAATATTTTAGAATTCTAATTAACTTTTCGCGTGTGAGGATTAATCCAGTAGCATATAGTTATAACGTTATTATTTGATAATTAAATAATAAATAGACTAGAGATTGAACAAATTATTATATTAAAGTCTTGGGTTAAAAAAGGGCAAATCTCAAATGTCGCTCAAAGCGCTTAGACTGTTTATTAATTATTATAATATTTATAAATGTTCACTTTCTGTTTTTATTTAATTCATTAATAATTTAACTCGGCTGTGATTTTAGGTTTAAAAAATGTACGTTCTGTTTTATTTGTATGGTAGTAAAGTTTTAAAATGTTAGGTAACAAATAATAAATAGTTGTATATTATACCTTAAATCGTCTGTTTTAATCGATACCTTTATAATACTCGTAGTTTTTTTTTTTTAATTTATTAAATTCACTTTTTTTATATTTTTAATAAAAACCTATCGAAAACCTGTAAAAACATTTTATTATATACGTGCAAGAATAATGTTTTTTTACAGTGTAGTGTCGCCAATATCTTATGACCACTAAATTAGGACTAAAAGAGGATTTAAAACTGACTAATAATATACAGATAAATAGTGCAAAAAAAAAAAGCTATAATAGGCTCTGATATAAAATGATTTATGAATAAAGACAACTTGGTTTTAAATTAAATTTTCATTAAAAACCGCCTATACTAAACTTAGTGGTGTCACTTCAGATTTGATGGGTGAGGGGGTGTAGCAAAACTTTTGATCGACACATGGTAAATTATGTCGTCATTACACCTTTTGAGAACTACATATCCTAAGTGGTAAACGTTTAGTTTTTATCAGGTGCGCCCAAACACTATTTTAATAAGATACGCCCATTATTTATTACGGAAATCTGTGGTCTAGTGCGAGTGGTACTGCCTTTATATATAAATAGATATTTATTCAAATTGTATCCAAGAGAAATAATGCAGGATACATTTGATATTATTAGGAAGCGTCATTTTAATAACTTATACTATTAACGGTTAATTTAAATTAATTGATTAATGTAAAAAGGGCCTTAATCCAATTATAACGAAAAAGAGCTTATTTAGTTTTCTTGTTGACATCTTCTAAAAGCATCGATGTATGTTTACAATGACCTCGTAGTGACGTGAGTCACGTTACTAGAATTCAAACTCATAAAAAAAAATTAACATAGGTATTGAATTTTAATACATTCTTATAACGTACTACGAAAAAGGGTATTTGTTTTTCCGAAAGTTTAAAGTTATGAACCAAGGAGCATAATAAAGGGCCTTTTTTGCATTAATCGATTTAAATGCGCTCATGTGGATAGGATAACGCTGCATTGTTTCTATAATATTTTTATTTATTTAATTTTTGGTTTTTCAATCAATGTTAATACCGCATATTTTTAGTGATACTCAAGATCATATTATATTATTAAACTGTTTTGTGTATTAAATAAGCACAGTAAAAATAACACGGGTTCCGTTAGTGAGTAATATAATATAACTGCCGACGACAATTAAAACCTGTTTTAATTCCAATTAAATTAATGTTTGATTATTGGCTATGACATTTTAGCATAACGTATGTAATATAATATAACTGTTGACTATAATTAAACCCTGTTATAACTTTAGCATAATGTTAATTGATCAAATCTCATTGAAATATGATCGTAATTTTAAGGCGTTTTATATAGGCCAACTAATAACCAGCCGTGTTGAACCAGAATATCTCGACTACCAACTACAAAGAATAAAAATTAGTTTGATTCGAACATTAAATGTAACTTGTGTAATTAAAAGTATTTTATGCAAATAAGAAAAGTATACAGAGTTAATTGGACAAAATAAAGATGTCGTGAAAATTTGACCTAGTTAAATTTTATGAATTTTAACTGTTAATTAACTAAATAAAATGAATAGTATTTTATACTATTCATTTTTTTTTTTGTAGGAATTATTATGATTATATTAATGCACTTGTAATATTAATCGAATAAAATCTTAATAGTATATATTTAATATTTTTATTGATCCACTTTGACCCACTTATAAATTGTTCGCGTTAAAATGAAAAGTAAATATACATTTTGCAACGATACCGACGTTTTGATTGCTCACAGATATCGGTGCTAATTTCAATTGAATACTCAAGATTTTTACTTATTGAAAAAATACTATTAAGTATCAACCCATAAAACTTGTGCTAAATTATACGTATTATAGTTTATAATAGTGCGTGGAAAATTAAAAAATGGAAATAAAGAAAACTAATGAAATTATAATTGTATTATGAATAAGCTTTATACGAATGATGGAGGTAAAACTACTACAATTCAAGTTCGTTGAACTACACAGGTAAGTATAGCATATTATAAATAAGTACGACACTTTCAAACTTATCGAATATAATACCATGCATTGTTGCTAGACCGATACTAGGTCAATGTGTAGACATATACTGTGATTAATCATTTGAAACTAGATATACAAAGTTCGATAATACTTAAACAGTTATTATTTTATACTGATACACAGTGCTTGGCGTGACTTAAAGAATGTTTCTAAATTATTATGTGACCGAGGCGTCCAAAATAAAAGTCATCAATTAAACGACTTATTCGACAATATACTTTTCATCACAAAATTCTCAAATGGTTTCGTTCCATGCTTCAAATGAAAATAAAAAAGACTGCAAATTTGCATAGTAAGTTTTAAAACTTTATTTTTATTTTTGCTTAAGCGTTTTATTAGGGGCCAATGCTGCCTCTTCTTAGGTTTCTTATAAAATTCGCCTTTATAAAACATTACACATTTACATTTATATCTTAGAACACAATTTAACAAAACATTTATCTGTGACTTAGTTTGATCTAAGCTTCTTTTGTAAATGATATACAGTTATACGAACTGTACGGGCGACTACACAAGAACAGAATAAGGTTTCCTGGAGTTTATTTTTGGAGGTTTATTTTTACAATAAAACGTTTAAGTAGTTGTAATTTGAATAAAATAAACTCATACTTCCTTTCAAACATAATTGATGGCTTGTGAATTGTACTTAAAATTAGATTTTGAGGCATTACAATTCATAAAGGTGTACATAAATTAAGACAACCTAAACGAATTTTTTTGCTGGACTATGTGCGAATTTCCAATTGTCCTCGAAAAACTTATCGTTTAGGTGTTCGAAATTAAATATACACTTCATTTATAAGTGCAATGCTAATGAGTTAGTGCTAATTTAGATAACCTACATAAAGTAATTAACCTCAAATTAATCAAATATACAATTTCTCTGCATAATTATTTTCCCCTGTTTTATAGAATACACATATGTGTATGTAACAATTGTTTTTAACGGGTGTAATATATTATCTGTATCAGTCGAAGAAATACAATTTTACAAACCTTAATGACTTGTTCTAAGTATTACAATTTTTATATTTATTTAAGGAAGTAAGAAAAATGTTATGTTTTAAGAATTATGTCAATATAAAAACATGTAAACAATTAAAAAAAAAAAGCAATAAAGAAAATACTATAACGACATAATGTCTAACTTTAAGCTGTATTCACAATATAATTACTGTGCAATTGATTCATAATATAGTAAACGTACGACATTTAACATATTATATACAGCGCAAAAAAATTTAGACATAAACAAAATATTAATCAATTTAAACACGAATACGTATTGTTTACATACTTAATATTGGGATTTGCAATTAATGGCAATTATACTATTAATGGTAATTATGACAATAATAAGTAAGGTAATGGTGAGTTGTTGAGCACAAAACTGAATTTATGAATTAAATAAAGTGCAATACGGCTGAGTGCCTTATCTAAAATATATTTAAGATTATTCTTTATATGAAAATATTTTTTTAATAAGTACTAGAGAATAAGAGAGAACAACATTTATTAAAATATAAAGCGGACTACCTGTCTACCAGGTTGCCTATAGTGATACAGTATACCATATCAGACATTCATGTTATGAGAATAAATTAATAATGTAATAATAAATTACAGGTATGTAAATAAAATATCGTATGAAAAACACTAGAAATGTATACATAAAAAAATATATTACAATATATTTACCCTATCCTCCTATAAAATTTACTTCGGAAACTGACAACTTTATGAAATTTTTACTTTAATAAAAAATAAAAAATTGAAACACTGTCCAAAATAAATGGTGGTTAATACAAAACAAACTATTAAAAGCTAAGTTATAAAATTTAGCGTTCTCTTTTTTTCAAGAAATTATATATTCGATGGACAATAATATGGTTTAAAGAAAAGTGAAAATTGCCTTAGTTAATTTTCAGTTTTTTTGAGAAAATGTCTTAAATACTTCCTAAAATTGTAAAATAACATAAACTAAAATGTATACACAAAGAAAAACTACAAAGTTATAATGTTTTCAAAGAAAATGAGTGCCTTACGTTAAATTGATTATTGTGTACACTACGAAAAAGTATAGATTAATTATATTGTTAATTCAATTATTTATAACAAGAACCTGACCTAGTTTTAATAACATAGATTTTTAAAAGAACCTATTTAGTATCTATCTACGTGATATTGTATGTACTTGTATTAATTGCAATACCGTGGTCCGTGATAAATTATTAAAACAATTAGATTGAGTTATTCCAATACTCCATATTATTTTTAAGATTTATCTGAATAAAGAAAGCAATAATTATAGTACATGGTTTATGTCATCAATGAAAGGATTAAAAAAAAAATTAAACTTTTAAGACGTTAACGGCTATCCTAAAACAATTAGATATTGCTCAAACAACAAAATATATGCAACTATACCCTTCATTTACCACTCACCGTATACTACTATAATTAGACAAAATATTATTGTTTCAAACAATACTAAGCAATATGGTACAACCACTTCTCTTTTGAAGGCATTATTAAAGTCCTGCAGCTTGGTTATGAGATAGCCGCCATTTATTTAAAATTGCTTATAAATTACTTAATTAGACACTCATAAACAACAAGTACATATATTTGTTTCTCGATTTTCAGCAAAGTATAAAACACATATGTACATAATAGGTTAAAATTTAATGGTTAAAAATTAATAAAGAAAACGTTCGTTCGTACAAAAATAAAAGACTCAAAATAACAAAATAAACAATGCGAGTAAGCATTGAGGTATTGTTCATTTCATTCAATTATTTCGTGTAAGCTGTTTGAAAAAAAAACGTAACGAACAAATACTTTTGTTAATGATTTACGTTATAAAACGTATATTAAAGTAAATCGGGAGAATAATATATATGTATATTTTTGTGTTAGGTACCGGTTAGTTATAATAATTACTTTGGGTAACATGATCAACCACTAACCGTAACTGTCCAACGTGTAGTTTTCAGATAATTGCCGATAATCAGCAAGTATACACCAGTATACAGATAGGACATATGGTTGGGTTTCTATGTAAAAAATGTTCCCAAATGAAATTAAATTGCTTACTAACTATTCGAAAGTACATAACCTAGGACCATTTTTGCCAAATTTAAACTGTATATTTTGCAAATTTCGTTTTCTGAATTTTTTAGTGAACCTGATCAACCGATAAATCTGATAAAATTCATGGCACTTATATGCATTAAGATTCAAGATACACTAGTGTTATTTTTTTGCGAATTTTTCGATGCAAATTTCGTGACGAAAATATTGAGAACATTTATGCGATCAATTTTTTTTCGTTAGAAGTTTCGTTTCAACTTTTTTACCATAAATGTGTCATCTAAGTTTTCTGATGATGACACACATTTCAGAATTTTTTCAGATTTTTAATTATACAAATATATTATTATTACAATTTGACCAACTATAATAATTATTGGGGACACAACAAATTTATAGTTGGAATAATAACTTTAAGTTAAATTTTTGATTGGAAAAGGGTAAATTTGTTAAAAATGTTTGACCTATAAAGTGTTTTTTTATGTTCATTTACTACACAAATAAATGGGTTCATTGGTTAAAAAGTTAATGTAGGTCCAGACAAAAAAATTTTAAACCTAATTAAAAAAACACACACATCGTTGTAAAACCAATACTAATAGTACCTTCTCAGTTGCGCATCGAAATAAAAATAATACATTTTTACGTTGAACTATAATTAAATAATGCGTTTGCTATGTTTAGTATTCTTTTAAATAATATGGTTACGTCTCGAGTGTATTCATCTATCTCGAGTGTCATACTAAGTATGGATATTGAGTTACAATCTAATCCGACGTTATTTGAGTTCATTAATTAAAGGTCAATCTTTACAGTATAGCTGTAAGGTGTATTTTGAAACATTTAACCTTAACTGTAATAATTGTACAACCGCGCAAAAACCAACAGTCTAGATCTAGATACGACTAGCACACTGAAATATCAAAACATGATGTATGCGCCTTCGAGTAGCCGTAGGTCTGTACTAACCCAGACAACCGTAACTGATAGGCCAACAAACAAATAAGTATGTATAGTCATTTGTACGTTTAAATAGAACCACGAAACGTGCACAGCCGCGGAGTGCGAACAAGGTTGTGCGAAAATTACAATAGACGGTTAATTTGCTTCCCTATATTGTCGAAATTTTTAACATGCATGTATATATTGAAAACAAAAACTGAAACGGAAAAGAAAAAAGATTAGGAGTACAGAGAATAGTCAACAATCGCTATTCTTTATACAATATGGCAAACGTGTAGATACACCTACCGCACATATTTATCTGCTTGTATTTGCACAAATTATCACATGTGAAGGGTTACCGCCGTACACTATCTGCCTAATGAATTATTAGACAACATTAGCATTGGGTCTTGTGTTTCGATAAAGGCTCAATGTACGATGGTCATTCGTACAGTCGAATCGTGCAAGTCCTACCGAAAGCTCGCGAAGACTAAATAAAAACAAAGTACAAACATTAATTGTTTTTTTAATTTGTGATTTTCTGTTTTTGTATAGTCTTCGCGCACTTTTTTTCTGCGACTCAATATTATGACAATATTATTGTGATCGCACAATTAGTAAACGAAACTCAATTATTTCTTTACCATTATTACATTTTTACTCCTTTAAACCCTCGGAAAGTATGCAAATTTACTTATTGGTCTTGTGCTTGGCACAAGTTTACTATATAGAAGCCAGAGCTCAAGACTTTGTTTACTTAACAAGAGGATTTTTTCATGTTCGCAATGGACTACAACCGTCATGTCAAAGGTACATACATTGTTATTTACTATAATAAAAATAAATTTTTATCACAGTTAACATTTAACAATTTTTTACTAGAAATAGTTTTTGTTAACTCTAAATTACATTAAAATTATACAGGGTTCGCTTTGTAGTTGCGATCCTAGTGCATAACTTGGAGGAAGTAGTGCGCAAAAAGTTCCCTCTCAGGTTAGCAATTACTTGGTAAAAGTGCATAAGGCTTAAGCAGTTCATAATAAAATTATCTATTTAACTTTAAGATTAAAAAACGAAGTCCATACTTCTTTTACGTATAAGGGATAAAGATAACAATTGTCTAAGTATTGAAAAATATAGTAAAATATGTGCCTACAAGTATAAGCAAAAAAGGTACACGTTTTTCTTTTGGTTTAGGAAAATTGTTTATAAGTAATAAAATAAGATTAAAAATATATTATTATTTTACAACTTTAATGAATTCTTAAAATCGGTTTGTCCTTATTTATAAATCAATATACTTTAATTTCTGGTATTACCGATACACACATTGCATTTTGACTAATTTATAAAATTAACTAGTTAAGCTTAGAATGTAAATTAAAATACGATACCTACTTTATTGTAAAACATAACATAAAGTTTAATAGGTATAGATAAAGCCATAAACACAATAAAAAAGTAAATGACTTTGCAATCCATATATTTGAATCGATTATTTAAATTATACTGTATACTGATGTTTAAAATGATCTATTATATTTAATTCAAATCATTTCTCGCGTAAAATATTGCATTATTTATGAGCTAAAAAAGCTGTCTTCCCTTATACTAAAAAAACGTACAAAATAAATACCCATTGAGAACACATTTTGTGTATCAATCGGATAGTCGGGAGATATATAATATATAGTTAACTAAATGTGACAACAATCACAGTTAAAATGTGTTATTGAGATGGTATGTCTCAATTCACTAAACTGCAACAAAAATGTAATTTATTATGAACAATTTAAGTAAAATAAAATTACGCAAATTGTAATTAATAATTATAGTTTTTAGAATGCCTCATTAAAAAACTTTATACATTACACTCAAAACATTATATGTTAGATTTGAAAGAAATAAAATGATAACTATTTCTGAGCAAAATGTTATCACTTTTTATACACCGCCAATTAAAATATGGGATTATAATTGTGATCTAAATTATAACGAATAATTTCGATTTTTTTTATTAGTCAAATCTACTGTGAAAGCGAACTCATGCACGACGTACAAATGTCCGGAATATATCCGGATTCGAAGACGTTCGTTGATAAAAAACTAAAATACACTGAATCAGAAATCTTGGAAAAGTACTACAAGTTAAAGCAGTACAACAACAACCAAGTACCTTCTAATGCAGAACTAAGTAAATTCGTCGATGAAAACTTTGTAGATGGCGATGAATTAGAAGAATGGGTTCCCAGTGACTTCACCGAGAACCCATCTATTGGCAACAGGATTCGTGATCAGGATTATAAACAATGGGCATATTCTTTAAACCATGTGTGGAAGACCCTGGCAAGAAAAGTAAAAGACGACGTCAAATCCCACCCGGATAAGTATTCGTTGATTTGGGTGCCCAATGGTTTCGTTATACCAGGTGGTAGGTTTAGGGAACTTTATTATTGGGACACATATTGGATCGTCAGAGGACTTCTACTGTGTGATATGAGGAAGACTGCTCAAGGAGTAATCGACAATATCATATCAATGGTAAACAGGTTTGGCTTCATGCCCAATGGTTCCAGAGTTTATTACCTGAATAGAACTCAACCGCCAATGCTCATTTTGATGGTACTAGCCTACTACCAAGCAACAAATGACTTTGATTATGTTAAATCCGTTTTGCCTGTAAGTATAGCTTATTCAGCCAAGTTCATAAATTAGATCTAATTGAAAATGATATTAAAATAATGTTTTAGGACTTGGAAAGTGAATTATATTTCTGGTTGGAAAATCGAATGTATACTTTTAAAAAAGACGGTAAGACCTATAATATGGCTCGGTATTATGCTCCATCTAGAGGACCGCGACCAGAATCTTACAGGTTGGTACTTGCAATGTCTTATTTATTGAAGTACTTTTTAGTTAACGATTTCACAACGTGTAGAGAGGATTATGAAATAGCTGAAAAATTTAACACGGAAGAGGAGAAAGACGAATTCTACATTAATATTAAATCAGGCGCAGAAACTGGTTGGGACTTTTCGAGTAGATGGTTTATCACAGCCAACGGCAGTGACCGCGGTGAGTGTTTTGTTATTAGAAAATGAATGACACAATTGATTTATTGTGCTTATCTCTTTTAGGTGATTTGTTCGATATCCACACGCCAGAAATTATCCCAGTCGATTTAAACAGCATTTTGCACGTCAACGCATTGACTTTGAGCACATGGTTTAGTCAGATTGGCGATATCAAGAGAGGAGAGAAATATGCAACGATCGCAGGAGAATTCCTTAAAGGCATTCAAGAAGTAATATGATTTGTATAGAGTACATTTTATAGATGATCGAGTTCTCTATCATAATATCTGTCAATACAGGTATTGTGGAGGAACGACTTAGGCGCATGGTTCGATTGGGACACGATGAACAACAAAAGCCGGGAGTATTTCTACGTGTCTAACATCGTGCCCCTGTGGACGGGCAGCTACGATATGCCTAAGAAATCAGTGGCTAGCAAAGTTTTGGGATATCTTAAAGATCAACACGTTATCGAGCCCGACTACAGCATTAAATACAACGGTAATAGATACACAACGGTATGTCGAATACGGTCCGATAATGCTGGTCTCGTGTTTCAGGTACACCCACGTCAATGTACCCGTCGTCACAACAGTGGGACTTCCCAAATGCTTGGCCTCCATTACAAGCCTTCATCATTCAAGGATTGGACCGGACGCAACAGAAATTAGCGCAACAAGAAGCTTTCAAATTAGCAGAGGTTTGGCTGCACAGCAATTACAAAGGATTTGCCGAGAAATCGATGATGTTCGAAAAGGTATAATTGTGCTCGTTTACACACCTTATGGTGCGAAATTAACGACATTCGTTTCAGTACGACGTATTAGCCTCAGGAGAGACCGGTGGTGGCGGCGAATACACACCACAAACAGGATTCGGTTGGACAAACGGTGTAGTGCTGGAGTTTTTGGATAGATGGGGCGATTTGGCATCATACAATTCAAACGGTACGTATGTCCATACAGATTGTCTACTTACTGCGAGCAGTTATCTAACCGGATATGTTTATACAATTATACGTATTAGCCACACAAAAAAAAAATCGTTAGATAGATAATAATCAAAAGATTCCGTATTTGTTCTGTACGATGAAAAGAAGGTCTGAGGTTTACAGTTCAATTACCAACACATTATGAAATTGCTCTGTTGTTTTGTTTAGGAGACCAGAATACAACATGCAAATCATATCTTTGCAATTTCAATAACATCAAAGACAAATTATCGTTTTGGGTAAATAGCATAGGTATAGGATATTGACCAAGCCGTATTATATTTGCAAAAACAAAGCACTCGTTAATAGCAATTAATATCAATACTTAATAAAAAATATACGTATACATGTGATCACTAAACATATTTAGTCGCAAACGGCACTGGCACGTTATCTCTCACTCATGCTTTTCAATCGATAAATAGTACTTATGATATTAAAAAATATGTTCGATGTTTGCTGTATCAAAGATCATGTTATCGCATCACAATTAAACTTGACAATAATTAGAGTTTTAAAAATATTTGTTTAATTGTATCTATTGTTTTTCAGAATTAAGAAGAGACGGCTGATCGCGTTTTCACCGAGAGTGGACGTTGAGAAAATCTGTGAAATAATTTTACCTTTTACACTGATAAATCCGAAAAATATAATAAATCAGTATTAAGTACCTACATTATAGTCTTTGATATCTAATTTTTTTTTATTATACATAACGTAACATATTTTTGTACGAGCTTTGCTAATTAAAAGACAATGTATATTTGTTAATTTATTAAAGACACCAAAAGAAAATTCAATAATAAATGTTTGTTTAAAAAAATATTATATTAGGCGTCTAGTGTTTTTTATGGTGGATTTTGGTTTCAAGTTCAATATAATATTTCTAAACAATACAATGACGAAAGTGTTGTCATTATACCCCAGACTCTTCATGAGTCAATAACATTAACATAATATAATGACTCCAGTTCCATCCGGAGTATATGATTAATCATAAACAACACTCTGGCTTTTCTAATTGAAATGGATCATATTATATACGTGACTTATACATGATGGTATGGATATCAGGTTTTAATTTGCTTTGGAATTATTCATTTTTATAAGTATTCTTTTAAAATTAAGTAATTTAACGATTGACATGTTATTTCCAAATGTTTGACGATTTTTAAACAGATAACAAATTTAGTAGCATTTCCGATAAAATCTAAATATGGTTATTTATCAGTGACATTTTCGACCAGTTGTAGGTTACATTACGATACAGCACAATTCGAGTGGGATTATGTTATATAATATACAAATAAAAATTAAAGAATTTTTAGATAATTTAAAGGTTGAGTTATATAAGTACTCTACGACTGATTACTTAAATTATTTCTCACTTAAATTTGATCCGAATTATAAATCAGTCGGAACCTAATTTGGAATGTCATCGGTAAGAGGAAAAATATAATATTCCATACAAAAACATAATTTTTATTCTATATACCAATATACCATAGATTAAGTATATTTTATTTATGTATATATTAAATATACATCAGTTTAATGTTTATCACCAATGAAAACAGTCCTTACAAAATTATTAGGTTACGAACAAAAACTAAAATTTTTAATAGTGTAATTATTTCTTATTATGTTTAAATTTATAAAACAAATATTTTCTTACGATACATGTAATAACTATAATAACATAAGTAATTAAATATTTATGGTTTTACCAATTAAAACTTTATTTTTTTTGCAATTAGCACTTTTTATAAGAAAAATAAATTGGTAATGTACAAAACATTGAAAATAGCCCAAACCTATTTAACGACATATTTTACATAAGTAGTTAAGTATACTAAATTATCACTAATATTGCGGCAGAGCTAATCACAGCATATAAGAAATTACGAATAATATTACTAGGAATATAGGTAAATGTAAAAACAAACTAACTTTAATATCGGACTGCACAAAAAAAAATTGCATATCTGTTTTTCGAACATAAATAAATAATAATTACATTTTCATTGTAAATATTTCATTATTAATTACATGAAATGACTCAATTTTATAAATTTGTGTAAGACAAAAGTTGTACATACATCATTTTGTATATATTTCAAAATGATGCGTTTAAAAACGTTATATTTACAAAGTCGGTGCAACTTACAAGGTCAATAAACCTAAGGCGGCTCTTACATCAGAGAAATAGGCAACGAGCAACTAGCAATCGGCGATAATATTGCTAGTTAATTAATTACGTAGAATTTAATTAACATTCTCACACTCAAACAATATATTATTAGTCAGTTATTACTATAATTTATGTACAACTTAAAAAACACTATATTAACTTCTAATTTTATAAAGCATTAGTATGCAATAACCAATAAACTATAAATTAACACCAATATTTAGGCGTATAAATAATTGGACCAAGTAACTTGGTGAAATCTCTTATTGTTTGAATATTATCTATGACTGTTAACAATTAATCCTTTGCTATCCAGTCATTAACAAACCAAATATTAAATTATATTTTAAAACAATTTGTTAATGGGATGGGGGAGTAAATAGTACTAATAAACGGCGTTTTCGTTGTCCATTCAAATTTAAATATTATAATTATTAACAATAGTAATAACTAGGTATAAGCGTGTTGAAAGAATAAGGCTGTTAAAAAAAAAGGTTGTATAGAACTCATTTGTTATTGTACAGTTTCAATATATATTTACTGAAAACTAAACATAACATACTAATAAACATTATTCAGAACTAGTAATTGTATTCCAATAAACGCTACCGACAATAGTCAGGCGGCAGTCTTGGCTAAAATTCAGTACGGCTATCTTTAAATATTTTATAAAAATTAGCATATAATGTAATATACTCGTATTTGTTTTATGTCGAACTTAACTCACTAAATACTCGATATGAAGTGCGTTTGGGTTTGGAAAGTACAGTTTATTTTTCTTTAAACAATAAACAAGTTATTCTGTTCTTATGATAAAATAAAATCGTAATTTTTTGAAACTGATTTTCTGAACAAAAAATGTTCTTTTTACAATTCATTGTATGCTTGATGAATGTTAACTTTGCACACCCGACAGATGATATCAGCTCTATTTATTTAAAACCAAGTTTTTTTCGAGCTCCTAACAATCTTCGGCCGACATGTCACAGGTAATGATGAATAAAACTAAATTTCATATAGTATTAAAATTAAATTGAAAATTAATATATGTACAGGTTTATCCAAATTGTATGTTGCATTGCTGTAGTATAAAACTTGAATGGCTCTGTATTTCACTATACATCGTTTTCCTTTTAACTTTTTTAACTTTTACTACTATAAATAAATCAAAATGCAATTATTTACACTTTTTAAGAAAATAAATTAGATTAGTTAAATTTGAATATTTATTGTTAAACTTTGTAAAAAAATTCCCCACCCCTTCACATTTCGCTAATCAATCCCAGTCTTTATAAATTTGAACTTCATAATAATATATCTTTAAATTGAATTTAATGTTTTCATAATACTACAAAAAGGAGCTTCTCGGGTGAAAATATGTACAAGACTTCTGGTAGTAATTTCAGTTAAGAAAGCCTGTGCATTTTAACGTATATTTTATAATAAATCAAGCAAAACCATTTGCAGTAAAATATATTGCGACAGTGAGCTTCTACATGATGTGCAAATGTCATCATTATATCCAAAGTCAAGAACATTTTTATTGAAAAAACTCAAGTATACTGAATCAGAAATCCTTAAAAAATATGAAAACCTAAAACAAAACAACCTCTATCAAGTACCGTCTAACACGACATTAAAGCAATTTATTAATGAAAACTTCGAAGATGGTAATGAATTAGAAGAATGGACTCCCACGGACTTCACCAAGAACCCATCTATTATCACTAAGATCCGGGATCAAAACTACAAGCAATGGACACATTCGTTAAATCAGATATGGAAGACTTTGTCCAGGAAAATCAAGGACGATGTAAAAATACATCCGGATAAGTATTCTCTAATTTGGGTACCAAATGGTTTCGTTATACCCGGTGGAATTTTCGAGGAGCTTTATTACTGGGACACATATTGGATCGTCAAAGGGTTGTTATTGTGTGACATGAAAAAGACTGCTAGAGGTGTAATCGACAACCTCGTATCAATGGTGCACAGGTATGGGTTTATGCCCAATGGTTCTAGAGTTTATTACCTGAATAGGACTCAACCGCCAATGCTGATTTTGATGGTGCTCTCATACTATCGAGCAACAAATGATTTCGAATACGTGAAATCCATCTTACCCGTAAGTAGTTGAATTTTTTTGCAACCTTAAAAACATATATACTAAAAATATTTAACATAAACTCTAGGAACTAGAAAACGAGTTCAAATTTTGGTTAGACAACCGTATGATTACATTTTTCAAAGATAGAAAACCTTACAGAATGGCTAGATATTATGCTCCATCTAAGGGTCCACGTCCAGAGACTTACAGGTACTAGTGTTATATATAAAATTAAATGCAACATACATTTATAAAACTATTAAACGCGCAATGCTAGATTTCTAAATAACTCCCTAAGTAAAGAATAAGAATCAAAATGTATCTTGTGAATCAACATATTATCTAATTTTAATTATGTAGGTTATATTGAATAATCGAAAAGGTATGCCTACCCTACATTAAATTTGATGATTTAATATTATGTTATATAATAAATAAATAAATATAATAAATAGTCTATTAAACTAAGTAAATATTTAAATGTTTAGAAATGATTACATTGAAGCACAGACGTTTCGAACGGAGGAAGAAAAGAATAAATTTTACATAAACGTAAAATCTGCAGCAGAGTCGGGTTGGGATTTTTCGAGTAGATGGTACATAACACCAAATGGAACTTCCTTCGGTTAAACTTTAAATTAATTAATTTCATGACATTATTTCGATCAATAATGACTTAATACATATTATATGATGCACGCAGGCCATTTGTCTGACATAGCAACTTCAAACATTATACCGGTCGATTTGAATAGTATTTTACAAACAAACGCCGTTACATTAAGTTCGTGGTTTTATCAGACTGGCGATTACAGTAAAGCAGACAAATACAGAGCAATAGCTTATGTGTTTCTCAAGAGCATACAAGATGTAACCGCACTTTTTTTTATAACACCAGAAAAATGTCATACAATACACGCATGATTTTTGTAGGTAATGTGGAGAGCAGACAAAGGTACATGGTTTGATTGGGACACGATTAACAACAAAAGCCGAGAGTATTTTTATGCATCAAATTTCGTGCCTTTGTGGACCGGAAGCTTTAGAATGCCAAGAAAAACCGTCTCCAGGGCAGTGTTGAAGTATTTAAAGGACCATAAAATCATCGAATCTGACTACAGTGTCAAATTTTACGGTACTGTTCAATTTTTAGGAATTTCAAATTCGGGTAGTTGTTAATAAAATTCAATATGTGCTGTAGGTATACCAACATCAATGTATTTGTCGAAAAAACGCTGGGACTACCCGAACGCGTGGCCTCCGTTGCAAGCTTTTCTTATTCAAGGACTAGATCGGACACAGCGAAAATTGGCTCAAAAAGTGGCCACCAGTATGGCAAAAATTTGGTTGCACAGTAATTACAAAGGATTTGCTGAAAAGTCAATGATGTTTAAAAAAGTAAATTGTCTTTTGAGAGACGTCCGGCTTATACGTCTAGGAATGAAGTTCAATACTTTTTTTTAGTACGATGTGTTGGTCGAAGGAGAAAATGGCGACGACGGTGAAATTAGTCCTCAGATAGGATTTGGTTGGACAAATGGTGTAGTTTTAGAATTTTTGAACCGATGGGGCGATGTAGCTTCTTATAATTAAAACGTTTATAGTAAAATGGTGTATAATCATTATGTTTCTATTGACAATGATAGTTAATATTTGTTATACAATTAAAAGGTAATAGTTGTATTAAAAAATTAACAAAAAAATAATTTGTAAGTACTTATAAATGTCTTGTAAAAGTTATGTTTATGCGTATGATGATTATTTATTACCTAATAAGTTTGTTTTTATAGTGTCTGCAATCTAGATGTATTACCTACATCGAAAAACAACTACATAATGTGACCATTGGAATTAATACTCAATAAAAGGGCTTTTTTTGTAGTAGAACTGTTTCTGAATTGAGCAATTGCTAATACTGTGTATTTTTTTTAGTAGCGGCACCAGACAGCTATAATTATTCATGATTCATTATGAGGCAATGCTGGAAAAATATTTTCAATAGTGAGGTGTATATAAACAATATATCCTTACTTATTATATTTGAGGATTTATAAGGTTATCAAGCTGATACATAACTACAAAAAATACTGATACAAATTATTAATTGTACAGTATATTCTGATAACTTAACCGATTCTGAACTCGTCACTAAAAAGTAAATGAATAATATTTTAAAGTTAAGAAATGCTTTTAAAACGATATAAACGTTTTGCTCCAGAAAAAACATTATACGTTGTTTCAAAACTTTTGAAATGTTTTAGTTGATTTTTTTCAAAATTAGTTAAGGTGTCATAATGTTGTACTATAATTCATTGTAATCAACATTTGTTGTAGTTATAACAAATCATAAAAATGTTGTCATTTTTAATCTTTTATTATATCTTTTTTTTTTGTTGTTTAATGAACTACGGGTTAAAGGTTATACTAGTGCCTGCACTATACATGCCTCTAAGGAAAGTTAATTTTTAAATTAATACTTAAAACTCAGCTTTATTGGCTTCCTAGTAATTACTTTTTAACAATATATAAACAAACGCGGCAGATAACAACGCACCGAACCCTTAATATCTTATATAATTAAAAACTCATTCAAAAGAATTTCGCTAAAATAACATTTACTCATACAACTGAATAGTGTCAACAAGTGTTTTACACATAATGCAGATATTAAGATATGAAGTGTACAATATTCTATCTTTTTTAAATATATTGTTTTAACTGTCAAATAGTGACTATTTTCAACTAAAAAAAATATAAAATAATTTACAAAACAATATTGTTTCCTGATTACATGGCCATGAATAGGTTTTCACGCATGTATTTGACTTTGTTTTTGAACTTGTCAAGAGTGTTTCAATTTCCAAGGTTAATTTGGCTATCAAAATTTCGTGGCCAGCATACTAATTACTAACATATGTTTTTAAAACTTAGTGGGAATAATTAATCGTCAACTTCTCCCTTTTTTAGGTCAAATCTATATGTTCAATCAAATTTCAAACAAATAAAAACTAATATTATTTTAATTGAAATATTTAATTGCTAGGATACTACATAAATAAATTATGAAACAAGAAGATTATCTTAACAATAACGTTTACCACAGTAAATACTAAAATATTTTCATATAGGTGTAAATAATGAGTATACGAATGACAGAAGTAATTGTTTCTATCAAATGTTTTGAATTGTTAAAAGTTATTGATTAAGTGATACAATGTTTAAAATTATTTTCAAAAAATATTAAATTTGCAGACCTTCCAAATGCTATTGATATTAGAAAAGTAAGTTACCTAATTTTTTTTATTATTGTTAAAGCTCACCAATTATTAAAGAAAAGCAGATTTAACACTTAATAATTACAGAAGTTTAACAAATATTATTTCGTATAAAAAATATTTAATATAAAGGGAGTTATTAAAATAGACATTTTTTAGGCCAGAAATATCACGCGTATATCCCATACCATTCGATTTAAGCGTTGTATTTCAAGTCCGGAAATATCATTTTGTTAAAATCATATCGTTTTTATTAACTAAAAACAAGTTATACGTCAAATATACAGCTCAAACCAATTGCTGCACGATGTTCAAATTTCCCGAATTTACCCTGACTCGAAGACGTTCGTAGACAAAAAGCTCCGGTACAGTGAATCAGAAATTTTGGATAAGTATTATAAATTTAAGCAGGCGAACAAAAACCTCGTACCGACTTCTTCAGCTTTGAGACAGTTTATCGACGAAAATTTCGAGGACGGTAACGAATTGGAAGAATGGACTCCAACAGATTTCACAGTGACACCGTCTATTGTCAATAAAATTAGGGATCAGGATTACAAGCAATGGGCGTATTCGCTTAACTCCATTTGGAAGACCCTGGCAAGAAAAACCAAAATCGACGTGAAGACCCACCCGGATAATTATTCATTGATTTGGATGCCAAACGGTTTCGTCATACCCGGTGGTAGGTTTAGGGAACTCTACTACTGGGACACCTATTGGATTGTTAAAGGACTGCTATTGTGTGACATGAGAAATACTGCTCGAGGCATCATAGACAACGTGATATCGATGGTGAACAGATTCGGTTTTGTACCCAACGGATCGAGAATTTACTATTTGAATAGAACGCAACCGCCTATGCTCATATTGATGGTACTGGCCTATTATCAAGCAACAAACGATTTTGATTACGTTAAGTCCGTTTTGACCGTGAGTATACTCAACTGTCAAGGATGAAACTGTTACACGGATTAGTTTGATGGAGTTAAGCGTTTTAGGATTTAGGTAGTGAACTGAATTTCTGGCTGAAAAACAGAATGTTTAGCTTCCAAAAGGACGGCAAAACTTACAAGATGGCTAGGTACAACGCTCTTTCTAAAGGACCGCGACCAGAATCATACAGGTAAATATTTATGGAATAATTTAAAGCTCGGTTGCCATTGCTAATAATCTGCAGTATTTTGCTTCAATTTTTTGGTAACATGTAACAACTGGCGATAAATGTCGCCATAAATTTACTTCTTGATGCATTTTTATGTTATTATGAATAACATTATCGATGGAAATATGTATTCGGATAACCGAAGAATCTAATTGAGACATAATGATGCACTTGCACATTTCCGAATGTCGCCATAATGTGTGGATGGGGCTTAGTTGCATAAATACTAAACCATTTCCAGAGAGGACTACGAGTTGGCGCAGACGTTCTGCACGAAAGAGGAAAAGGCCGTTTTTTATGGAAACATAGTGTCTACCGCAGAGTCGGGTTGGGACTTTTCGAGTAGGTGGTTCATAATGTCAAACGGATCCAACTGCGGTGAGTATAAATTCACATTTAAATGAAACGAGCGTTAGAATCGACAGGGATGTACAGGTGATTTGGTAAACAATTCTACGTCGAAGATCATCCCGGTCGATTTGAACAGCATTTTGCACGCAAACGCGTCCACGTTGAGCGTATGGTACAACAGGGTGGGCCACATCGACGTGGCGGGAAAGTACGGCGCGGTGGCATGCGAACTCCTGAAATGCATAAACGAAGTAAGCCGTATAAAAACCATTTCAAAACTGCAGAAACTACAAGAGCTTTTTCAGGTGCTATGGAGACCGGACCGAGGGGCTTGGTTCGATTGGGACACGGCAAACCACAAACATCGTGAATATTTTTACGTGTCCAACATCGTGCCTTTGTGGACGGAAAGCTACAGCGCACCCAAGGACACAATAGCCAATGTGGTATTGGGGTATTTGAAAGACCAAAATGTCATCGAATCCAATTACGGTATCAAGTATAACGGTGAGTTTATGCCCAAAAACAATAATAAATTGTATCATTGAATATATATATAATATAATATAGTAGGTACTCAATGTCTCAACGATTGTATATAATCAAACGAATCCGATGTCTATGATACGATTTTGGTTTGTAATGTTTCAGGAACGCCTACGTCCATGTACTCGTCGACACAACAGTGGGACTACCCAAACGCTTGGCCTCCACTGCAGGCTTTTGTCGTCCAAGGATTGGATCGGACACGACAGAAATTGGCTCAACGAGTAGCCGCGACAATGGCAGAAGTCTGGTTGCGCAGCAATTACAAAGGATTTACCGAAAAATCGTTTATGTATGAAAAGGTTTGAGCGTCTAATTGTAAAGACAACGAACTTTGGTTTTAACGCGTTTAGTTTTAGTACGACGTATTGGCGTCGGGAGAAACCGGCGGAGGGGGCGAGTACATTCCACAAACGGGCTTTGGTTGGACGAACGGTGTAGTTTTGGAGTTTTTGGATCGATGGGGCGACGTGGCTTCTTACAAATCGGACGACACGTGTATAAAGAAGACATAGACACAATTAAAGAAATTAGTATGCTGTCGGCGAGCAGGAGATAAATAAAGTACACGCATTAAAAATTAATGGTATACCTAATATTCCACGACTCAATTTTAGATTAAATTACTAAAGAGATAACTAAGATATTGTTGTAAATAGTTACGTAGTTAATTTATTTTGTTTTGATTCTTAAAGGAAGTTACATTTAAATACTTCCACGAGCAAGTCTTACTTAAGTTCGATATTGGAAAGAAAATTATTGCCAGTAATCACTACGTGGTCATTTCTTTTGAGAAAATATTGTAAAAATTTAAACTTTGACTTAGTCAACTTTTATTAAATTATTACTATTATTGCCTACTAATAAAGTTAAACAAGGTCAAATCGTTATTTGTTATTAAATGTTATTTTCTGTCCTAGGTAGTTTATTTTGGGAAAAATAATTTTAACTCCTCTAAAAACGTATAGACAATTATTTATATTTTAATAATTATGAAAACGGAAAAACGTTTTTTTTTTTTACAATTTCAAGTTGTATTTTTTAATTGGAGCGTTGATTATTTGGCATACAAATTACATTGTATCAAATTTTTCCAAAAAAACCTTTTTCCCCCCAGGACTTATTAAATATAATTTGTATAAAATTATCAATTTTTATTTATCCGTCAATGAACCTAATCAGTAATCACTAATATTTATTCAATGAATATTATGTTTTGCGCAAGCTAAATATGTCCCAGGATCTCCACTTTCTTGAATAGCTGAGCATTTATTAGTATACAAGTACTTTTAAACAAAATTAATAGTCGTGACTAATTAAGGCATTGATAGTTTTCGATCAAATAGTTAGGTATGGACCATATTAACTGAAACATTTTACATTTCAATGCCCTAATACATAATTTCTAATAACTTTATCAAAAATCATCTATGTCTAAATTTAGGTAGTCTTATTTTTAATTTTGTGTCGTTTGTATTGTGATATTTTAGAACGTTAAAACTGTTAATTTTGAGATACTAGATTAGAGAAAAGATATTGGAGATAAAAATAAAGATAACGGATTAGAGATACAGTTAAGAAATGGTCCAGCTGAATAATGGAGATGAAGTAAGAGTATAGAGATAAAACAATTCGATATTAGATAGTACCAAAAATTACTATGGTCCTATAATAGTATATAAAGGCATATCCATGTTCCTATGTACTTCCGTGCAGCGGAGGTCATGTCCATTTTTTTTTATGTTAGGTTTTTAGTGGCATGTTAATACAGTTAATAGTTTAAAAAAAAAAAAACTTTAAAAAATATTTAATTAATTCTTTAGGGTGGACCTTAAATAAATACAATACTTAAATAATTTATTTATATATAATATAATATATATATATATTTATATAAAAGTTTTAATTTTTCATTATTAACATCGTTTTTTAGAAATATTGTTGAGCATCATTCAAACATTTCTAAAATATTGTATTAAAGATTTCTCTACTATGTTAGATATACAATTAACAAAAAACATGCTCACTAAGTACAAATTTTGTTTTTTCCATAAAATCAATATATATGGATAGCATATAAATGTACAAGGAATGTTCCTATAATATGAGCAAATTATTTACCTTTTGCCAAAACATTATTGTTACTATTTCTATCTAATCAGTAACTTAATTACTTAAATATCATAAAAAAACCAACAATTAATAATTCTTCAATGGTAATCGGTTTACAAACCTTAGTAATAACAATTTTACAACATCACCTATTTATTCACCTATTAATTAAATACAGGACTCCTTGGCGTTAAATAAAAGTTTCTTGAAATTCTTATCAGAATCGTCAGCGCTCGAATCAGATTGTATTCTGTCATTTACAGTAGGTGAATTCTACAAGTTCATAAAACAAATTAATTAATTAATTCTACACTATTATTCTATTATTCTATTTCTTTTATCATGCAAGAAATGAAATAAAATTTGACTTACTGATCTTGAAAAAACTGTATCATTTTCCACTGTTGATGACCTGGAAATGGTATTGCTAGATGGCGAGTCACTTAATTCGTCAATATTATCTTCAATGTTGTGTTCTGAATTAAATAAATATTATTATAACTATTGTTATTTAATAATGAGCATGCCAATTTTTTTAAGGGATACATAAAAAAATATTGTGATTTGCCAATTTGTGACAATTTTGTAACACCATTAAGATTTTACTTAGACGTATAATAACAACTTTAACTGTATTATTATTATAATATTAATAATAATATGTAGGAGTAACTAAAGTTACAGTTAGAGCATATCTGGTACACATTTGTCGACTTAGTATATTAATTGTAAGCTCAACTCGCGCCTTGGCTTACAGTTATTTTTTGACATTTTATTTTTGATGATGTGTTCTTTCAAACATAAAAAAATTTGACTAAATAATTGTTTGACCACTTTTTTTATGACCACTCTATGCTCAACTTATACAACTAAATTAATAACTTTTTTTACTAATTGATAACTTAATTTGCTCAATATTTACTACCATCACTACCTCTAAGGGAGAAAAAATATTTTAAGAAATGTGGTTTTCAGGAACGATTCATTAGTTAGTCGCTGATGTACATTATTAAATTAAAAGTTATATTCATAAATAGTTTAGACACACAATGTGAGAATTTATGCTGAAATTATATCGTTAATATTAATACCAGATACATAGTTATTCTTTAAATAAGATTATATGATTGTATATTATGTATAAAGTTATTATTTACCAATAATTCAATTTAAAGTAGTCACGTGTGGTTTTATTATACAATTATGAATAAACCCTAACCACAATAAAAATATATGTATATGCTCATAAGTATGTATATTTTTATTGTGGTTAGGGTTTATTCATAATTTTACCAATAGTTCATTAACAATCTATAACCAAGAGTGAATTTGCCACTCAATTACCATTGATTATTCCACCCCCTACTAAACACAAGCACAATTAATCCTACTTGGCATCACAACCCTGTTCATACAAATCTATCGTGTGTAATGTCAATCAAAGTTCCAGTACAGTTTTCAAACAACGTCTGGACATTTGAGACGATTTGAAAGTGATTGCTATCCATTGATTTCCTTTCTAAAATCCACTCTACAGGTATTAAATATGGTAGTCTACAAAACCTTAAATCACTCGATATCTAAGAAGTGTCATTTTTCTTTCATTTTCATTATATTTTATATAATATACTAAGCTGTAATGTTTTTTTATATTATTACTTATAAGTTATAATTAAAAACATCAATATTGTGTTATATTCATCACACGTTGATACTTTATTTTAAATAATTGTTTTAATATTGTATTTTTAATTAACGAAATCTCAAAAAAACCAACCTATATTGTCAACAATTTGTCCAACTGAGTGACTATTTGATATGTGTGCATGCAACCTTGTTGCCCAATGGTCGGTGTTATTTAGAACCATATCCCTCCTTTGGTAGAACAACATGTACGCTGATGTTGTAACTAATGACGTGTCTGGGATCGGAGTGACTTTTGTATCATCAAAACTATACCATTGCTTGTCATATGGATTTTTGCAAAATGCTAATAAAAACAACCACGGCATGAATGAATATTGTGATCTCTTTTAATTGAGTTATTAAACTGACCAGTATAATGTCCGCTGTGAGGATCTGATCCGTGGTGATTGCAAACAGCATATAAATCATACAAATTACGATCATGTATAGAAGATAAACGTCGTGAAGTAGGTGGCTTCAACGGTACCCTTACATCTCGGCCAATTGCTAAATGAGGGGTCATATCAAAACTATACAGTGGAAAATCTACAAGGACTGAGAGTTTTGTAGGCTGCCTGTAAAATAAAACAAATTAATAGTATTGTTGCTAAGTAGAGTTGGCGCTTCATCTCTCTCTCTCTCTCTCTCTCTTTCTCTCTCTAGATGCCTTCTTTCTGAGAGAGACAAACTACCATTCTCTTCCGAGGCGACCCAACTGTTTTTTTAATCAACATATTTTATTACTTGTTATTTTGCTGTCGCGTTGATGGTAATGTCAATGACTGTCGAAAACGTTTTAAATGAACCACTAATATGTCTGGTAACGTCCATAATCCAAGTTTTTTCACTACCTCTTGTTTTAAATTACACTGTGGACAATGCCAGGCGTTTTCTGGTCCCAATATTTCTTCTTTGGTATACAACTAAGATTTTACATAACATAAATTATAACAATATTACATATAATTAGCTACAATAAACTTACATCAAAACATTGTTCAAGAGTAATAGATGTTCCTTTTTCTGTATTAAGTTTGAGTTGTTTTACACTAGCGTGTTCTTCAACTTGTTCACAATGGTCAGCAATTGTTCTAAAATTATTTTGATAAAATATAACATAAAAATAAGTTAGGAATTAATAAAAAACTAGGATCATACAAGAATATTCTAAACCCTAAGAAAAACATTAATCAATACAAGTAAATTAAAACTTTATGATTTAAAATACTGTGAAACCAAAGATGGACCCAGAATACAGTGAAAAGCTGGATAAGACAACACTTTTGTATGATTCTGCCAAACCATTTGGCATAAATATTTAACTGAATAAGACATATGTAAAACTGCTTAATACATAACTTTCATTTGGTTCATGCTAATCCATCTTAGAAGGTTTCGCTGTATTATAAACTCTTATTTAATTAAAATGTAATGACACTTACGCTTCTTTTGCGTGAAGATTCCATTCTAGTATTAATTTTACATGTGGTTGATCACCAGACATTACTAAAGCTTGTTCAACAGGATCCGTAAAAAGGGGTAGCTCAACAGTTGGATCAAGGTATTGAGGTAAATCGCTTGCATCTACCAATCTTATTCCAAACAAAGGTATATCCTGTTCTGTTGTAAGAATATCATCGTGCAGCATTGAAGCCATCTCTTTAAGTAAAAGCTTTTGAAGATCTTTATAAGAAGTTTCACGACAGATTTGCATTGTATATGCACTTCCAAATCTAATACATTTACATATACAACAATTAGAATATTACTCGCTAATACTTGGTGTTACTGATTAAACAAAATAATACCTTGAACATTGATCTTCTACAATAAGAACATTGACCCAACAGAGTAATAAATAAGGTCCACTTTCATTGCTGCAATCGTTTAGTTTGGGAAGTTCCAAACAATACAATGGATCCGATTCTTTAATCATTGATACAGGCATAGAATCTAAAACAAAACACATACTTTACAAACATGGCATTTATACTTAATACCGAACTGATAAAATGGTTTTATTCAATATATTACCACAAAATGTTCTGTTAAAGCCTATATCGGTGATTTCAGTAATGAGCATATGTTCTTGTTGTATGCCTGTGTAAGACCACAAAAGTTCTCGAAATTCGGCAACAGTAAAGTCAACTTGAAGAGATAACCCTAGTTTAACCTATAGTAAAACATACAAAGAAAAATATTAGAGCATATAAAAAAAAAAAAATTGAAAATAACTTACATCTCTAGGTTGTTGAGAAGTATAAATTACAGTAACATATACAGGCATAGAATAACATTGTGGTACTGGTATGGATATGCACAAAAATGGATCAAATGTATTGGATTGTCGCATACAACGAGGACACGTTAAGGAGGATTTAAATTGTGCTTGGAAAACATTATGTATAAAAGATTCATTACATCGAACGTGATTGGCAAGAGTTTCGGCAGCTACTTGTTCATCTGGCCTTCCGAAAGTGTTCTAAGAATAATTATAATTTCAAACATAACATTAAATTACATCAATAGTATAATTAAATATAAATTTCATACTCTAATAGTTTTATATTTCTTTTTTGTAGCTGTATTTAGATCTTCGTGAACTTTATCCAAGAGCCAAAGTAAAAATTCTTGAGCATCGTGTTGATTATTCCCTCGATATTGAGTACCATATTTATCAACAATTGCTTTAAACTGATTTGACATGTCAGGGTCGTACTTGCATAGCCAAATTGATTTCAACAGCAACGCCAGTTGTTCGGTCATTTCTCCTCGTGTGCCATACTTTTTTGAATTCAACTTGTTTCTTCTTGTCAAGTCCATTTTGTATTGATCCATCACAAAATATCTAAAAGGGATTTTTAATAAGAATAATTATCACCAAAAGAGATTTTTGATATTTTATGAACAGCAAATAACAAAAATCCGAATCCGAATTGAGGAGTCGGGGCATAATACAAGAGGTTGGATAGGTCACAACTCTTTAGAAAATATTATAATAACTAAAACCCATAAAATAACTTCCTATTAGTACCACAAGCAAAAATAATAATTTTATCATAATTCATAAATTCATAATTTTATCTGCAAATATTATATATTACTAAATAAATAAATGCTTGAATTTTTCAGATACTATACATAGAAGTAAACAATATGAATCTAACGAGCACATATTATCTTCTAATCAGAACTACAATTTAATATTTAGATAATTTAAAAACACTAATATCTGTATTTAACTATTGTGAATAGATTAAATATTGTTTAGGTATATGTACACTAATACACTTTTATGTAAATGAGTGTATTTAATTCTCTAATACTTTTCAATGACAATTAGTAAAATTTGCATTATTTTCCTAATGCGGTGCACCCACATCACAAAATGAAAATAATAATAATGAGTTCTACTAAACAATATTTTTATAATAATGTAGGTAATTATATTCATTGGAAAAAATATGTAAAAAATAAACGTACAAGTTTTAAACTATTAATAAAACATAACGAATAACATACAGGGTAATCTTTATGAACTATATATTGTCTTTACCACAACAAAATCTATACAAACTAATTAAAACCTTTAGGTTTATTAAATGTATTAACATGGGAGGAAGTGTGTCAGGCTGTTATTACAATGGAGAATACTCCATAAATTTGTGTTTTAAGATGCAACAGATTAAAAGTTTAACATATTCATAATAATACCACACTAAATTATGAATGTAGTAATATTGACACTTTTTTTGTAATCAACGTTTATCTATTACTTCCTTTAGTCAATATTTAATAATAATATAATATCCCTCTAAAAAAATGTATAGTTATGTCACTATTATCATTTGCTATTCAATACCATTTCACCTAATAACCAAATAATTAGATAGCGAATAGTGATAAGCAAAATATATCATAACATATACTCCCGGAGACCAGAACTGACTCTCTAAAAATTATCAAAATACAAACAAAACACAGTTTTTTTAATTTATTACATGTATATAGCTTTATCAATTATCCGTCATGTTTTATTTAATGCTGTTTTTTATTAGTAACTATTGGGACTTTATACTTGAATAAAAAAGTTATAATTGTTACTAAAAAAATGCAATAGATTAAGATATTAAATTATAGTTTTATTAAATAAATATATTGGATAATAAATGTCAATAGCGCCTAGATAATGATTTCTGTGAAATAATAATTTACTGCTACAATAACTAGATAAAAAGAAAAAGGATCACATATTTAGTAACTCAACAAGTTACGTTGATAATTATTTATTAATATTATAAGAGGTACTTTATAATCTCATAACTAAAAAAAATGTACTTAAGTATCGAACTTCTAAATAAGTTTAAAGTTATATACAAATTTATAGGTTCCAAATTATGACCTAAAGATCCAAAAAAATTATCTGTGTACCATGTTAAAAGATCTTAGTATTTTAAAAGGGAAGTAGGTTGAGCAGGTGAATATAATTTTTCTAGATTCTACTCATATTAGATAAATTACCTATGATATCTAAAACAAAATATACAGGTAACAAGATAGTATAGACTAACATGTATTAGGACATTTTTAAAATTGGTTCCTAGATAGTCTAAATTTTCCAATTTAAATATTTTTTTAAGAAAGTGAAACAATTATATTTGAGAAAATATTACTAACCTGGCTAAAACATCGGTATGACTCAAACACTGGAGCACTGCATTTATGAAACAAGTATTACCCTGATTCCGAAGTCCAACTACACCTGGTACCTTGTCTCCGCTCAATATTTTTGGACTTTGATATGAATTTTCATTATAAATATCCGACGATGACCGTGACACATAGGCGTCGTATTTGGAACACAAATTGCCTTTATCCTGTTGTAAACCGATATAAGACATTTTTTGCAACATCTTTCCTAGGACCTTGTTCCACGAAGACGGCTTTCGCAACATGGACAATCTAAGTTTGGCATCATCCATGTCGTTGGGCTTGACGTGCTTGGTGCGTATGAGGTCTCGCTTCAACGAGAAAGACCGTTTTAACTTGGAAGCTGTCTGATTAGAGTCTTCATTCCGTGTCATGTTGTACAACGCTTCGTCTTCCGACGTGCGTTTTTTCAGCAAGGATATCTCGTCCATATCAAAACGTTACCGCCGTATTTTAGTAACATCAGTAATATGTTTGTGTGGTAACTAAAATGGTATAAAATTGGCAGGCGACCGCGGCGGTATGTAAAAAAAATTGTTTAAACTACGTAGCGACGGGTGATCCTGATACGTTAATAGAACGTTTGTACATCTGAAAAAATTAACGAGAACATATATAAAAGAAAAACCATCCGATTCTCAATATTCTTTCATTTCAAAGCAAGATCTAATTGTATCATTATTCAGTAGGTTTACACTTTACACAGTAAAATATTTTATCAACTCGTTATCGAAGTCCTTCCAAATGCAGTGTGACCGCATATCATTTCATTCATAACCTACTGTTGTCAGGAATTAATATAAGAAAAATCCCTTCTGTTTTACTGAAAAAAAAGTTTTTGATTAAAACTGGGTAAAATGATACGCTTATATAATATATTTCACAAACACAATTGAATTATTGCAAGTACAATTAAATATTAATGACAACATAAATAGTTGTAATAAAAAAAACTTATTGTTTACCTGAAAAATGTAAAACAAAACTTTTCCCAATGCTCATAATTTTTAATTTGGGCAGTAATCCGAAATACATTTTTAAGTTGGCCACCTTGTACTGGTACTATACGTTGATAACAAAATGATAAATGACAAGTTCCACTTTCCAGTGATTATTAAAAAACATACCTATTATGATCTTGTCACACTCACATATTTCATCATAGTTTTCAATTTTCATTGTTCTCTTATTTTATATCTACTAAGTACTAATCAATTATATTATTTTTTTATCGTTAAAATTTACTTATTATCCCAGTGTGCAAATTATCTACGCAACATTAATAACCAATATTTACAATTAAAAACACTTGCACATTTTCGTTTTATTTTTAACTACAGCGAACAAAATGTTTAAATCCAACTTCGAGAAGTTACTTGGTATTTAGCTTGCCTAATAGTTTCCATCTCCACAAATATTAATTTTTTTTTAATTTGTAGATAAAGTTACTAGCAATTTGCTTCTAGAACCAGATTGGCCATCAACGTTGGAAATCTGTGATTCAATACGTCAAAAAGATGTGCAGTAAGTATTTTATATTATTTCTATAATAACATGACAAAGAGAAGATTCTTAAAACTTCACTTTTTCTTAACTCTCATCCTAACTCTTTTTAAATGTTTTCATCAATCGGTTAATAATTTGCTATAGGTCATATTATGTATGCTATGTAATCAACATTTAAGTAAAAATTATGAGTAATTCATTAAATATATTAATAATGTTTTGAAAATGAATGCATTTTTTTCTGTAACTTTCATTTTAACATATTAAAGTTTTACTTGAAATATATTTAATAATTCTATAATTGTCATTTTTTTGTTTGTTTATCAAAGATTAATAGTTAGTAATTATGTTTATATAGTTATAATTAAATAGGTCAATTTTTTAAAATTTTTGTTTCATTTAGCCACAAAAAAAAACATTAAATCTTCAAATCCTAAGAGATGTGAACACTAAATATTAAATTTCTCAAAGGGAAATTTCCAACCTTAAATAAGATAATATATGTTTATTTAAATTAAATAATTATCTTGTATAAACAGAATAAGCCAATAATTAGATCATAAGCCATAGCCGTATTATAAATAGTAATTTAATAACCCATAATTTGTATTTACCATTTTTCTTTGTGTATTCAAAATAGTATAAAATTACAGTTGACAAAATAAAAACTGTATTTACATTTTAAATGTTTTGATAACTAAAATTTACATAGAAACAATGTTGCTTACAAGTATCTAATGAGTGCTTAAGTTTCTTCGTCCTGCTAATTTATGTTAAGAAAAACAAATGTTATAGATGAACTATAATATTATCACAATATTGATAATATTAATGCTATATCACCACACGAGTACAGCTAAAAAATAATGTTCATATTGAAAAAAGTTGCGATTATGCTACTTTTATTGATTCATATAATATAATTTTATATTTTTTTAGGCCAAAATTTGCACTCAATGCTATTAAAAAGAAATTGTCAAGTACAAATCCTCACACTGCTATGTATAGCTTATTGGTTAGTATATTATTTTAGTTTTAAAGTTAACTATTCCTCATATTGAATAATATTATAAATAATATTTATTTATTTTTCAACTAACTAGGTATTGGAGTGTTGTGTAAAAAATTGTGGCCAACTAGTACACGACGAAGTAGGATCTAAACCATTCATGGAGCAAATACGAGAAACTATTAAAACTACACCACATGAAAATGTCAAATCCAAATTGCTTGAACTTTTACAAACATGGGCATTTGCCTTTCGTGCTGTTCCCAAGTACTGTGCTGTTCAGGTGCTTTTTATTTTATTATATTACTATAAAAAAATTTAAACTATTATGTCTTTAAAATGTACTATCCATTATTAAACACTATACTTTTGACATATAGGATACTGTAAATATAATGAAAGCTGAAGGTTATACTTTTCCTGCGTTGAAAGAAAGTGACGCTATGTTTAGTTCAGACGTAGCACCTGGTTGGGAAGATTCCGATTGCTGTCATAGGTGCCGTGTGAAATTTGGCATGGTACAGCGTAAGGTAATTGAAAAAGAATAACTAATTATTTTTTCAAGTATGAATACCATTTTTATCAGTCATCTTGTAATATTAGTTATTATATACATAATTTTTATCATTTTTTAGCATCATTGTCGAGCTTGTGGACAAGTTTTTTGTGCGCAGTGTTCTTCTCGCTCTTGTACACTTCCAAAATTTGGCATTGAAAAACCTGTTCGTGTTTGTGAAGCTTGTTATGAAAAATCTAACAAGTAAGAACCAAAAATTTAACTCTTACCAGAACTTACCAGTAATATTACAACTTTAATCAGTATTATTATTTACTTACAATGTATTAAATATATAGATCAAATACAACTAAAGGAGCAGATGACTTACCAATAGAATATCTTACTAGTTCATTGGCTCAACAAAATCAAGTAATTAAATTTTATATAGCCAAATGTCTTGTTTAAATCGGATGTTCATGATTATTTTAAAATGTTAATATATTTATAACTTATCATGTTTTATTATTAGGTTCCAACAAACAGAAAAACTGAAGAAGAGCTTAGAGAAGATGAAGAACTTCAATTAGCTTTGGCGCTTTCCCAATCGGAGGCAGAACAACAAAAGGTAAAACATTCAAATAAAAGTATTTAAACATTTTGTACTTGCTATAAAAAATATTTTCTCATGGCCATTAATTCTAGGTACCATACATGAGTTCAATATCAACACCAGCTGCTCGTTTATACTCATCACCTCCTGTGGTAAATTTATTAAATTAGTTTTTTTTTTTTTTTACCAGTTTTTATAATGAAATATGTGTGAGAATTCTTGTTGTAATTGTATTAATTTGTGTTTTATCCATTAAATACTTAATAAAAAAAGTTAAAACTTTGATTTCTAGAAAGAAGAAAAAACAGAAGTTGAAGAAGATCCTGAACTGGCACGTTATTTAAATCGCTCTTATTGGGAAAATCGAACTGAACAGCAATCCAAAACTTCACAATACAATAATTTTAGTTCAACAAATGTAAAATTATAATTTCAAATTTAATCATGCACACAACATGTTATCAATTACAATTTTTTTATGTTGTAGGCAAACACTGTGCAGCCTTCAAATGTTGCTTTAAACACAACTGTAAAAAATGATCAGCCTAATGATTCTGGAGAAATGGAAATGTTTATAACATCAGTAAAATCACAATTAGAGATCTTTGTGAATCGTATAAAATCAAATTTGAGTAGAGGTAGAACCGTCATTAACGGTGGCTCATTGGATACTTTTTACTCAAAGATCACTCCTATGCATCAAAAATTACTCCAGTATATTCAACAACAAGACGAAAAGAGACGTAATGAAAAAATATTGTGTTTTAATCTTGTAAAATTTAATCTTAGTTACTCTTATGAATATTACCTCATTTAGTGTACTATGAGAGATTGCAAGATAAGCTCGTTCAAGTAAAAGACACTCGGGCCGCATTAGACGCAATGAGAGAGGATCATAAAGCTGCTTTACAGCAAGAAGCTGCTTATGCCGAACAACAAAGACAATTACAGTTAGCGATGAAGTTAGATGTATTAAGACAAAGAAAACAACAATATCAACAAGTGGGTTTAATCAAGTAGTATAGTACTGAAAGCAAAACCCGTATGAAATAAGTCTTTTCATAGTGTGTGGGAATCGAAACCAATACTCCTAGTACCAAAAAATTGAATGCTTCATTCACTGTGACATAAACACTCATAGAATATTAGGTTACCTATAGTAATTTTATTAAAATTATAATGTTTTTAGTATCAACATCAAATGACACTCGCACAAGTACAACAACAAGAACAAGAAATGGCTATGCGAATGGAACATCAGCGACAAAACTATCTCAATACTAGCATTTATGGACCAAATTCCATACCAAGTGTGCCAACTGCTCCAACTCCATACATGTCATCTGGCCCTAGTAAGTTTATGTTATTATTTCATAATGAGCTGCTTTAATATTTTTGTATTTTTATAAAATAATAATTTGTATGTACGTAAAAGAATAATATTTCATTATATTTCTGTTTTGACTAAAATATATTCACATATAATTATTTTATATTATATTTATTTATAAATGATATTAATGTTAATTACATATAACTTGAATTTATGTACAGGTTCAATTGTATCTTCTCAGATACAAGAAAATAATATACCAGGTCATTATCAACATATTCCTCAAAATCAAGGTAATATTAAGTTAACTCTTAAGTTTTTTATTATTTTAAATGAATATTTTAATATGTAAACATTATGTTTATTTTCAGCTTTTCCTGGAAGACATATGATATCGCAAAACCCAAATGCAGTTCCAATTACCCAACCTGTTAGTTTACCGTCTAATGAACCTCATAATATGATTCACACTAATCCGAATATTCCTCAACCCATTTACCGACCACAAATGCCACCATTATCATCAAATTCTATAAATCCAGGGGTTCCCATTAGTCAACCAATAAGCTCATTGCATCAACAGCCACATTCGAGTGTTGGTTCTCACACCCAACCGATGATGCCAGGTCACCATCAAGCTCCTATGCCACATATGGTGGGACCACAGCGTACAATGTCAGTTGGACAGCCAATGATACCCAGCCAACATCAACAGCCAATGATTGGACAGATGCCACCAAATATTCCTTACGGCGTCCCTGTGCATATGGGACCGTATGGTTCTCAGCCCATACCTAGTCAGCAAGTCAATCCACAGCCGTCCGCTCCCAATCAACATGAACAATCCAGAGTTGAGCAACCTGCAGTTGCTGAGTTGATCAGTTTTGATTAGCTTAATATAATATTGCATTCCGAGTACACGTTTTATCACATAATAATATTTATTGAAATTTAACATTATTTTAATTTTGTGGGTATTTTATTAAATTGTTTATTATATACAAAATATAAATATTATATAAATTTTAAAACATAAATAGTGCTTTATAAATTAACAGACAAAACAAAAATGTATACACTACCTACATAACATTGCAGTAAGCCTAATATTACCATGGACATGTAGATTAATCAGGTTGATTATGATTTATGTGTGAATCCTTACTGGCAAAAACTTATCAAATACATTTGGTAAAAATAATAATAAACTATGAAGTATATTAATTTAGAAGCTATTAGCCATAATACGGGGTTCTTGTATAAGGTGTTCGGTTGTCTTCTTCCTTTATTTTTTGGTAATAGCTGTAGGTCACCCACCACATGTATACATAAATACCTAGATGAAACAAAAAAAATTAATTTTTGGTTTTGATAGTTATTTTTCTTAATAACTTACAGACACCGAGCATGCCAACAACTAGTACTAGAATGCTTGTGATGTAATATGCGTGTATTAAAAAGTCAATAGTGGTATACAAAACAGATATGACTAGTCCAATACATAGCATAATTGTTAGCACGATCCAAGGTAGCATCAATAATTTGTTTCTCTGAAAAAATAATTTCAATTTTGAAGTTAATTTTTATGTCACAAAATTATGTATCCAGCAATGTTAACAAATATTTATTGTTGTAAAAATAATAATGTTTACAAACCATTAATATCCCAGCTAACAGTAAAGCTGATATCAAAATTGTCATTATGAGATTGATTGCAACAATGATTTTTACTGAAAATAAAAATTAAAAAATGTAATATTAAACACTTGTGTATAATGTTCTCTTACTCTACGGCGTGGAATGTGGAATTCAAATAGCATAATACTGACCTACAGAGAGGTAAAAAACGTAATATAGAATACTATTACTACTTAATGTGGTAAGTACTCTTTATTAAGATCTTAAATAGATCTGTAGATACATACCAACAGTTTTGGGTAAGAAGTCGATGACGATGGTCTGTATTTTAATATCGTATACCAGGATCACTATTAATGTGATTATAGCAATTACCTAAAAAAAAAAATTCATTAGCCATCTGGTGTAAGTTTTGTTAAGCTTATAATTTTTACACATAATTAATATTGTTAAAAATAACAAGAATGGGTCTACATAATTAATTGTATCATAACGAGAAAGTGTCTGCGTGTGAAATGACTATAGACATAAATTGTTATTATTAATTATTATTGACGGTGATCTTTGTACAAATGAGCAATTTATGATGTATTGGTATAGCTATATAGTAGTTACTAGTCTTTTAAAAAATAATTTATAATTAACGAGGAAAACTCGAGTACCTAACATAATTTTAAAATACAAGTGAGTTGGTAGACTATAATTATCGATTTTGTTAAACAAATTATTCATATACGAAGCTATAAATTATTAGTTCGTAACTCGATGTTTGCAGGTTGTAAGTACCTATTTGTATAATTTGTTTATTCTCAACCATTATCAATAACAATTAATAGGTTTTGACGTTTTATTGTGGTTTCTTACATGAAATACTGATTTGGAATAGTCCCTCATTTGTTATTTAAATTTTAATACGGTTTAAAGGAACTGTAATTTAGCACAAACGTCGTTTGCCAGTTCATCACAAACTCCCCATGTAGTTTATAAGCCGTGACGCTTAACAGCGCCTGACACGGAGTCAGGAGTGCTTATGAAGAACATAAATGTTTACCAAATAACGACAACCGTGAAGTTTTTCAATGTCAACTTTTAACGAAAACATTAAAATTGTTATTTTTCCAGTAGTAAAAGGAAATTTACGGTCCAGATCCGACCACGCGTCATAAACTTGCCTAAGTAAGTATTAACCTACATTTGAATTCTGACTTCTGTCAAGTAACGTCTTTTAGGTTGCTAATAATATCAAAAAATCGGTAAAGGAGCCGCTTTCATATGCCGAAGAGAGAAACGACTATTGTACATTAATCATTGTATACTAAACAGTACAATATACAGACAAATATTTATTTTATTATAAGGCACCAACCAATTTAAACCAGATTGCCAAGATACGTGCCAAAAATGTACAGGCAAACTTTCGGAATGCTTTGGTCGGGATACTATAATTCATATTATATATTTTAACAGTTGCATAATCGTAAAACAAAATTTGCCCATATAACATTTTTACTTTCTATAATCTATATTATATCTATACAGATAGATATAATAATAGAATCTACAATTTTGTTTACATTTCATAGATAATGTCCTATAAACGATGTAATTATTCGCCAAGAGTTTATAGATTTCATTACGGTCGCGGGTCGAGGAGACGGTTACTGGATCATCGAGATATTCAACTTACAATACTGATTATTGTTGACATTGTTAAGCAGATGTAATGTATCGAACTGCGCCCATCATTGTAAAAATAAACTACATTAATCATCGTTGTGACGTTTGTGTGTAGTATTGGCTACCTAACTATTTAACACGATTACGCCACTTTTTTCTAACATGATACATCCAGCAACATTTACGTCTTAATACTGTCAGACAACAGTTTATTATAACAAATTGCAATGTACTGTATCTAAACAAGTTTTCACAATAAGACGTGTGCGGGTGGTCCAGTTTAGAACCATTTCAAAATAAAAAGCTATATTGTACACGGCGGACTTGAATGAGGGACCAGTGTCACGGGAAATCAAGTTTAAGAAAATCGGTAGGTCTTTTCGTCTTGACAAGAGAGTAAGAGACAAACATAATACATGTACTAGACGGTCCCACGCCTGTCGTAACTAATTTGTTGTGTGCCAAGGATGATAATTATTATTATTATTAATACAAAGCTCGACGTTTGACCTTCCTACAAGCGTCGCATATGCTTTTTTAAGTTCCAGACGTTATAGCGATGCTCTCGGTATTCTATATGGATCACATATGATAATAATAATAATAATATTAGCTGTGTATCGTATACGCTATTAATAAAACATCCCGCGCACTCTTATAAGATACAAAGCGCTTTAGAGCGGTTTTGATTTAAGTGCGCACCGGCCCGTAAAGTATATTCGATCGAGTACTCGCGCTTTTCGTTTTTTATTAGTAATAATTGTTAGTTTTGATTATTATTATTTATTATGGTTACCATTTAGGACTGGCTCGAGAACACATACCGCACTTAATGATACACACGAGACGTGTCTTATACTCAAAATAGTCGGCGGGTTATCGCTAAAGAGAGCGGAGTAAAAAAAAAAAAATACCAACATTAGACCTGAAAGCAGATAAAAAAACATACACAACAAACGTGAGGTTACATCCGATTTCACTGCTGCCTGCCATCTGACATTAAAAGAGCCCAGACCAAGTCTAGAGAACCTGTACAGTATGGCGGCCAAAGCTCATTATCGTTACAATGATCTGAGATGAAGTACTCGCGATATCTTTTTTTTTTTTATTGCATTCTTAGCGCGAGACGTTGGGTTTTATTTTTGTTTAGAATTCCAATCTTAAGAACACATTACAGTCTAAAATGTAATGTTGATCGAGCACATCTCAACACCAAAAATTACCTTCCCATTAAAAATGTACTATTGTATTATTATATGTATAATTATTATCTATAATATTTTTTAAATATGTCAAACAATCATATGAATTCATAAAACAATTATACTGTTCGAGGGTGAATTTGTAACACGATATCTGATATTTAGCTAGTTCATATATTATTAAACCATACCGATTTTTTTACAAGTGATTGTATTGTCTACCACTATTAACTATTAATTATAAAAGTGCTATACATTCGAGTACTTATATCGCACCACATAGTAAAGATGAATAAAAATAGGTACTACAGCGGTTAAGCAAAATGTTGCATGGTACATGAACAAAAACAATGGTTTACCGTAGGTATTGTTAGTAATAATTGTTACAACACAAAACCGACCTTTGTGAAATCCTCGAAATGTCACTTTTAGAAAATACAAACAATACAATTTAATTAATTTGAACAACAAAAAAAGTTCGCGAAAAAAATATTGATTTAAAAGTTATTTTTTACGCCGATATACCTTGTACCATAGATTATAATAAATTATTGTTCTATAAATATTGACATTTAAACATGTAATACAGAAATACCTATAGACACTTTCAAATACCAAATTTTGTAGTTGGTCCATTATTTTTTTGATTTTTGTACATTATATTTATAAATATAATAAGCCAAAATCTGTTTCATCTGTCTATACACGAGTGACTAATTAGATACCTATCTGTTTTGTTTTCCGAATTCAATTGTTGCACATTAGTACTAGTTACACAATTGTAAGAGTAGGTAATGTTTTGGTATTAGATCCACTCATAAAAATTATCTCAATAATTAACAGTTCTTAGTTTTTTATCCGCCAAGTTCCTATCCTAGGTCGTAACAACCTGCTCTATAAATCCCTTATAAATTAGCAATGTGTATATTATGAATAAATATTAAACATTTAATGTAAATAAGTACACTTAAAATCTAGAATTTCCTAGCCTATAAATAAAACATGATTTTGCTTTAACCAAATAATATTATTTATATCATTAAAATAACATGTTCAACCAAATTGTTAAACTAATTAAAAGATACTAATGAGTAATGTTTAAACAATTATTTCTAGTCACAATCCTATATTTTAAACACAAAAATCTTCTTCGCATGGTCACTGGTACCTACTAACCAAGTTTCCAACCTAGTAATTTTAACTGAATAACCGTATTAAGTTATCTTTGATAAAATTATATTTAAATATTATACGATTGTAGCCAATGCCATTCCGGTGGTCACATAGATCAGAGCATTCACCTTATCATATTATATGTGTAAACAGTCTAATAGTATATATAATAGTGTAGACATGTAAAATTGTCAATGCTTCACGTATAATATTAACTTATAATAATTAACGTCCAATGAACTCAATTGCAAATTATTTGAAAAGGTAGACTTACATTTGTTTAGTAGGTAATTTTATAAAATATACAATTATGTCAAATAATAATGTCAAGTACGTTTATGTTCTAATGTATTGTTATGATTATTATAGTTTATATCCGATAAATCGTAATTAAAAATAAATCATAATTATTAGCTATTTGCTATTCATTTAATTGTAATCTAGAAAATCGCTTATAATCAACTCAAACAATAATTATGTCTGTCATCAAAAGTAACTGAATTTTCATACTAAACTGAAACTGTAATTTAATAATCTTATTTGTTTTTATGTAACACATGTCTTAGGATTTTGGAATATTTGTTAGTGGTAACTACAATTAAATGTAATCACTAAGGTCCGGATAAATATTCTCTTAAAACACCTAAAATATGATTCTAATATTCTCTAAAAAACCTACAAATATTCTCCATATAATCTCTTAAAAATTAGAAAAATAAACAAAAATAATGAATTAAAATCAATATTTCCTTTATTGAATATAAAATAACAATATATATTTAAAAAAAAAAAAACAATATTCCTTTGGTATGATGATTATGGTAATAAATTAATATTTACTAAATATTCTTCTAAATTTAATTCTGACTTGAATTAAATTGAAGTACAATTTAAATTACTTACTACTTATTTAAATTTTATTATATGAGTTAATAATTATGTATTTCTCGATATTCTCTGGGCTCATGTTAGTTCTTCTATCGCTTAAAATGTGTTTGTAGAGGCTAAATGAACGTTCAACATCAACTGATGTTAAAGGAGCAAACTTCATATCAGCAACTACACTAGGGGTGAAATGTTCTGGGAGATTTTCATTGTTTCCAGATAAAATGTTTCCAACTTTTTCTAACATTTGGTAGCCTTTATTTTTTTCACATAATTGAGTCACTTTGGTTTTTATAATGTTACCCTTTTCACCAGGTTATTGGTCATTTTGTAAATTTTTGTTGTTCTTATCAGCATGAAAACGATGCAGTATTGCAGGTTAGCCACCATATTTGGTAAACAGCACGGCACGACGCGGCGACTTAATAGTACTATCACTGTGTGTATTTTTGTATGAAAATATTAATTATAATAATTTTAAAATTAAAATAAATTATTATGTTTTTCTCACAATTTGCAAAATATTCCAAAATATGCTAAATAACCTAAATATTCCCTAAACCATGAAATATTCTCAAATATGCAAAAAAAACTTTTTCCTGTGAACTCTGTGATGAATGAATCGTCCACATTTTTTACCCTCATAAGACTGCATATACTCAGTAACAATATGTAAAAACATATAAATCCGGACTTTAGTAATCACTAATCATACTGTTTGCTAAGAGAAGAAAAACAATATAATCGCTACCGTTTATATTATAATACATTAGTTAATCGAAATTCTAACTTCTCGATAGTACGTCGGTCCATTAAAGAAAAACTTAAAGATAAACCATTTAATGTTATGGTTGACATAAAAAAATTTGGGTAAACTCAAAGGTTGGTTACGTAAGGTGATGTAAAGCACTTTGTTATTGAACTATTGTACCTATAAATTATAATGAAACAACCGTATACTATCATATATCATAGTTGTTACTTGTTATACACTGAATATTAAAAAAAAATAGGTATACGATTTTTGTAATCGCGTCGCAAGACTATTGGATTCAAACAAATACGAATAGTAGTAGGCTCTGTTGTTCTGACTACTTGGTTTATTACGTTTAAATTGTGTAAATTGTTCGTTTAGTCGACAAAAAAAAAGTAGGCTGTGTTTTTTTACAAAAAATAATATTCACATACACAAATTACCGGGCCCGTGACAAATGGGACCATATGTGTTGCTACTAAAATACTTTTGATCGTATGTTTTCCAACAGGTGTGTCTTTTACTATTAATAAGGCCGTGTTTCAACACAAGAACGCTCGTCCGATATAATTAATGTATTAATATACATGTACAATATAGAATGTATATTATGTCGTGTGGGAAACATTTTGATATTTTTAAGTCGCCGACTGGCGTTCGAACCCTTTTTTGAGATATCCGTTGACGCGGGGATGACTCTTTGTAAATTGATCGTATACATACGGCGGATATTATTTTATGTGTCACGGTTTATGTCATGCCCACAGACATGGATAATAATTTACCGTGACATTCGCACGCGTAAGCCAAACCTATACGTTGTCGAAGATAGAAAAACAATAAATATAAAAAAAAAATTGTTTTTTAACGCGGGAATAAATTTAATTGGGTTTAAAAATAATGTAGGTAGTTTTTTTTTCGATATTGCAAATGGCAGATTTTTTTTTAAAATCATTACTTCGCCAAGAATAAATTAATCGGTTACATAAATACTGAACATACTACAAACGTCTTACAAAACAATACGAGCTGTGCGTTATGTTTTTGCTGAAAACACTTTCTGGCCAACTAGGTTTCCAAAAAAAAAAAAAAACAAAACTTTAATGTAGGTCATAGCGCGACCGATTTGTTGTCATCTGGAACGCGGGCCGACATTTAATGCCTCAACAAACTCGTTCGCGCACTTCGCCCACGCTGTCCTTGAACTTTTTTGGCGTTGGCCGTGTAAGAAAAACACATTAAATAACCTCCAAACCTTAGTTTAAAAAAAAAATACACCTACCCGACGACCCATATGTTTCATTCAACGTGTTCAAACACTGTACAACTGATGTATTCTAAATTGTAGTAAATATTTATTTTTGCTCGTGAAAATAAGTGGGAACTTGACGGAGCCCTTAACAGTTATCAAATGCAATAAATATAAAAACCGTAATGGTTAATACCTAAGGGCTAAGTTTTTAAAATTCAATGTCCAGTAATGATCGAGAACATGAAGTCTACATTCTTAAGATCTATTTTCAATGCCTAGTTGGTTTAAAAATGTATATTTTCCAAAGATACAATTAAATGGGTAACCGCAAAGCTTTCCGTCTCAAAGGACAGCTTCGAAAATATCATACAGACCTCAGCTCTCTGCTCTCTTCTAACGCTGTTTACTCTAATTACAACAATTTACTTCAACAATAACTTTTGTACTATAATTGCGCTTATATGTACAGTTTGTAATGCAGATAATTTAAATAAATATTGTGATTAGGCATAATGATATAATTACAATTCCGTAAATGCCGCTGATGAGGGCACCCGTCTTCAGCGGACAGCCCATGCATGATGAGAGAAGCGGTAACTTGCGGCCCATGATTGAATGTCGTCCAAATACTTAAACCGGATTGAAATATCTATTATTTAAATATAGATGTTTATATTTTTCGCTTGAAAGAAAAAACCGCGGGACGTGATTGTACGCGCGGGATGACCTCGCTCGCAGGCGCCGACCGATACACTCAGGCTCGGACACTGCCGTTGGCCGCCTCGTCGTGGCCCATAAATAGACTGGTGACCGTTTAGCGGGCGAAAAGTTTATATAAAGAAAAAATAAAATCAACTGAAAAGCGCGCTACCGTCAATGCGTTAACGAGAAGTGTACGGACGAACGTTTGCGAACCTTGTGTGCGATACGCGCGCCGACGTCGCTGCGGTACTGTGTATAAGTACGCTGTCGGTCGTCATCTCATGCCCAAGTACACAAACGTGGGCCGCGGAAAATCAAGACTTTCAGGGAGGGAGGGGGGAGAACATATGGTGTAAATGAGTGAACTGTAATCCTAACCGCGAACAGCGCAAGACCCGTCATTCCACGCTGACGCTATACGCCGGCCGGGTAAGGCTATTTCCTTTTAGGTATACACCGACAAAACCTGTTCTCGGTTTTGTATCCGATCCGCCGGCGCTGTAGCCACAGGTCAAACCTTCTCCTCCGCTTCCTCCCCCTCGGCGAGCCGATATGTACCTGTAATATAATAGCGGCCTGTCCGTGCAAACATATTGTCCCAGAAGGCTCTCGCTCGACGCATGCTTGACGACAGACAGCAGGATCAAGGTCAACCCGGTCTATTATAATAGTATTACTATTATTATAGTTCTTCGTTGTTATTGAATACCGATAAAATAATAATATTCAAAATTATTATTATTATTATTACGACTTCTCGCTGTATACCGATTGTGTACGCTGTGTAAAATAACGCACAAGGACCGGCATTATTATTATAATATTTGCATTGTTCCAAATGTGTGTCCCTATAAGGCAACAGTTAAATCGTACTCAAGTAAAACAACAACTCAGCGCTGTGTCTCGTTATTTGCCCAGAGCTCGACGCAGCTAAATTTCAATTTCGAGAATGTAATATATTATCCAGTGATAAGAACCCAGAAGGACAATGAATACCGTTTCATTGAACTACAAAAACCGCACGGGATACCAGTTAGATAATTGTAATTGTTACATGATTTTACCTGTATGTTTAGTTTTAATTCGGTTGGAAATGATTATACTACCGTTTAATTTGGGTTTATTAGTAAGGTCTATTAATGTACCTCATTACGACTCAGGGCATTATTGGGCGCCTATTTCTTAAAAACACAGTACCTTAAACCTTAGAATTATTTCTTATCAAATTACCATTCGTCAGTCAATAAATTATGACGAGGTATAGCACGACTTATATGTATATTATTTTGAAATTAGGCACATTATAGTCTTTAGACCTTATTAATGAGTCTGAATTATCGAACGACAATATTATATCCAACCGATTAGAAATTGAACGTACAGGTAAAATGATGAAACAATTACAATATTGTAATTGACATCCTGTAGGCTGTATGTTTTTGTAGTTCAATGACACGGATTCCATGTTCTGTTCATCGGTAATACGTATGTTATTCTTAGATGAAAACGTGGATTTCATTATTTGAAAACCGTATACAACTTGAAGTATTAGATGAGACGGAACTACTTCTACAGCTGTAGAATTAGAAAACTATTATTATTATACACCTTAGAGGCTTACTATTTTTACTTAACTGTATTATTCATAATCATTCATTCACATTTAATATCACTTCATGGACATTTAACGGGCATTTAAAATTGTAAAACATTTGCTTGTACAGATTTGGCTATCAAAATATTATACTAATTACTTAGCAACGGCACATCTCATTTAAAATTAATTGTTTCGCTTTAAATGTATTTTTCAAAACCTCTAAAGTGAAAATTTTATATATTTGTGACATTAGAGGTGTTCATTTTGCATATTTGTTTTGAATAACAATCCTCTTACTTTTTAGGCAAACCGCAATAATGATCGTTAAAGTTTTTTCCTAAATTGTATACACGCCCAATGAAAGTTTTAAGCCTATCATTTTAAAGATAACCGCCTCTGAGAATTTTAGATACCTATAGGCTATAGTAGAACTAAGTATAGGAGGTAGGTGGATGTTTGGTATAGGTAAAAGTTAAATTTGCCCGACTATAATATCGTGTCTGTCACGCCATGTTAGTTCGTTACGCTGTACTTAAGAATAAGCCTATGGCGCCACTGTTTATGTATACAATAACAACGCAGTTGTTTTCAAATTGATTTCACTAGAAGCCAAAAATATGCAATCGTCAAAAATGTATTAAGAATAATAAATTACCATTTATGTGTATAATATAATATACTATAAGCAAATCGGCTGATCACGCCAAGCCGATTGGACAAACATTGAAATTCCATCGTGGAAAAGTTTTTTTTTTTCTTTGCGTTGATTGTGGACACGCGAATTTCGAGACAACAAAGGACACGAAATAATTAATTGACTTTTCAATCCCGTGCTACGTTGCAATACGTATTTATTACAACTATAAAATTGCATTGGACAGTTTTGGACGTGACATCATTCCCTTATAGTTAATGTGGAGTTTAATTTTAGTCAGCTCCTTTGTCCGAATAGCCCGTTTCGTGATGATGATATTATAATTATAAAATAAAAAATCGCTTAACCGCATTTGACAAACCGTGGCATGTGGCATATTATTGTGTCCTATGTAAAGGTAACCGCAAAATAATAGTTTATAAAATAGCCTCTTTCCTCTTGTGACCGTTTGTGTCGATGACGGCAAACATACGGTGAAAAAAAAGCCCCCAAAAAATTACTTTTTAAAATTTAGCACTTCCTCTATGTGCTCTATTTATAATAATAAACCACATACATAGGTACTGGATATTATTTTAAATAACCACTATCTGCTAGAACAAAATGTATAAGGAATTTAATTTTCATCACAAGGTCAACTTACTATGTGGGTGTTTACTGTGTGGTAAAAGAGTACAATTTAATGTACTTAACGTTATTGTTATGGACACGTAGGACAGTGCAATAAAAAAAAAATAGTACCGTCCTACAAAACTTACCCAACTATTCGTACGTCTTTATCGATTGAGATTTATAGAATTGTAAAGGTCAAACCTGCTCCTGTACAATAATTTACCTATAACTCGATAGTTTTTGCCACTTTTCAGGGTAGGTAAATAAATAAAAAAAGCCCCACCTCGGACACTGATTGGATTGTAAAAACGTCGATCTGGCGTCAGCAAGTGTCTGCAAACAATAAAGTTATAAAAGGTCAGACAGTATCCAAAATAAACACAATATTGTTATTATAGGCCGTTAAAGTTTTCATTTGCTAAGCGACTGTGACCTTGGCGCCTTCTAATCGTGAAACGCAATACCTGTGGAAGTTACACGGCGGCGGCACCTACATAGCATCTGTATCAATAGTAAGTATGTACATAATATTATTATGGTTTCTTGCGTGCATCTCGGGTGCGTTCAATGTCTTCTCGCGTGTTGGTCACAAGGTTTGATATCGAATAGAATACAAAAACTAATACACGAATGAATCCGTAAAAAGTACACAATGGTATTTTTCGTACCTTGACAATACAGAGTGGGCAAAAACTGAAAATCCACGGTTTGCATAGTAATTCGAAACGCACGATATCTCGTTGTTGTAAAACTTCTAAAATATTACAATATAAATGATTGTACATTGCTGTTAATTAACGTGGCTCGACCGTTTGTCATCGTTTAGAATAATCAGACATTGGCGGTAAAAACTGTCGAGTGCACAAGTAATTAGATCGGTGATGAGATAGCGGTTATAATATTATCTCATGTCGCTTCATCTACTCGTTCCCAGGTTAAAAACAAAATGGTACACCGGTTTGAATTTAACAGTATAGTAATAATAGTATAGTAATAATGTATAGTAATAATAATGACAACTGTGTCAGTTCAAGCCCAAATTGCGTTAATTTCATTCAAACACATTATCAAACAATGATTAATTAGTCATAGATTAAATATACTATAAATAATAACGCTAATGTATATGTAACAACCGGCAACACTATTTTACTCACATTTCTGGATTTCGCACTGTATACTTTGAAATCCCCCGAAAAAAGAAGCGTCAAATTCATTTTCAGGCGTTGTCCGCCGGCCATGTTTGACCTGTGCTCTAGTTAAAAAGCAATATTTTCCTAATACATAATTTATATTTTTTATAATAATTGTTTTTGTATGTGCAATTTATTCCACGAATTCCGCAATAGCCGTCAATAATGTAAACTGATGATTTTAAAATTAATTTTACGCAAATTAAAAACAAATTATTTATGTTTCAGACTTTTATTTGTTGACGTAGATAAACATGATAGTATTTAATATTGAGACATTTTAAATGTAAAAAATAACATAAATAATGACACAGCTTGTCCATAAAAAATATTAGTTTCATTTTCAACGAGTTGTAACAGAATAAAAGTTATATTTATAAATCTATATATTTCTCATATAAAGTGGTTCTTGTTTTGTATAACTAGAGTGAATATAATAAAGGACATCTATAGTAATATTAACGGATTAACCTAATTAAGAGAAAAGTATAGCGGGTATAACTTAAAACTTATAATGTTAGAGAGAGAGGTCTCGATGTTGATTAGAGCAACAATTAAACTGTGCCTCAAGGTAGTGGAATTATATTTATTGGCCACCGTTCCAGATGGTATTTAGTGTGGTAAACTATATATTGCATTTAACGGTAGTTGTATTTGCTCATTTATAAGCAAATAACCGTTATTTCCTTGTGAAAAATGACAATAATATGGTCAAACCAAACAACGCAGCGGTTCTGTATATATCTTCTGGTAAAACATCATAAATATATTTTTTTAAATATGTAATTTATAACATCAATTTTTCAACATTTTCACTACTTAAAATAGTTTAATAAACACGAGTAGGTTTCAAGGACAATCGAATCCGACATCATTTATACTACGTTTGCAGCCATTTGTCAAACTGATGAGAAAGGGCGTTACCATCCAATTTGCATGATAGCTTTTGCAAATATTTAGGCACTGGGTGTGCCAACTTCCGGTCTATAACACATCAGTCTTGACGCAAACCATTGCAATATAACACATAATTTTGGGCTTATCCCTTTCATCGTAATAACAACAAATAACAGTTCTATTTGTATCCTTCAAGGATTTCATTACATTATGTGGAAAATGTTGGGTTTTTGTTACTTTTTATATTTTAATCAACGCGAAGTACAGACAACATTTTCGAACAGAGCATACAAACGGATAGAGATCATTTTTCATTGG